TGTAGCGTGTTTTTTGTAGTACCTGGCACTAATTTTGTAAAAATTGACAAGAGTAAAGTACCCCCTGGAGGCGATGGGGGGAAAAATGGTTTCACCTGGCAAAAAAATATTGGGATAGGAATTATGTGTACGAAGTTTAAACAATTAAGCGTGTTTTTTTTCTAGTACCTGGCACTACGTTTGTCAAAATTGACAAGAGTAAAGTACCTCTTGGAGGCAATGGGGGGAAAAATTGTTCCACCTGGCAAAAAGGTATTGGGATAGGAATTATGTGTACGAAGTTTAAGCAATGTAGCGTGTTTTTTGTAGTACCTGGCACTAATTTTGTCAAAATTGACATGAGTAAAGTACCCCCTGGAGCCGATGGGGGAAAAAATGGTTTCACCTGGCAAAAAGGTATTGGGATGGGAATTATGTGTACAAAGTTTAAACAATTAAGCGTGTTTTTTTCTAGTACCTGGCACTAATTTTGTCAAAATTGACAAGAGTAAAGTACCCCTTGGAGGCAATGGGGGGAAAAATTGTTCCACCTGGCAAAAAGCTATTGGGATAGGAATTATGTGTACGAAGTTTTAAGCAATGTAGCGTGTTTTTTGTAGTACCTGGCACTAATTTTGTAAAAATTGACAAGAGTAAAGTACCCCCTGGAGGCGATGGGGGGAAAAATGGTTTCACCTGGCAAAAAAATATTGGGATAGGAATTATGTGTACGACGTTTAAACAATTAAGCGTGTTTTTTTCTAGTACCTGGCACTAATTTTGTCAAAATTGACAAGAGTAAAGCACCTCTTGGAGGCAATGGGGGGAAAAATTGTTCCACCTGGCAAAAAGGTATTGGGATAGGAATTATGTGTACGAACTTTAAGCAATGTAGCGTGTTTTTTGTAGTACCTGGCACTAATTTTGTCAAATTGACATGAGTAAAGTACCCCCTGGAGCCGAAGGGGGGAAAAATGGTTTCACCTGGCAAAAAGGTATTGGATAGGAATTATGTGTACAAAGTTTATGCAATTAAGCGTGTTTTTTTCTAGTACCTGGCACCAATTTCGTCAAAATTGACAAGAGTAAAGTACCCCTTGGAGGCAATGGGGGGAAAAATTGTTCCACCTGGCAAAAAGGTATTGGGATAGAAATTATGTGTACGATGTTTAAGCAATGTAGCGTGTTTTTTGTAGTACCTGGCACTAATTTTGTCAAAACTGACAAGAGTAAAGTACCCCCTGGAGCCGATGGGGGAAAAAATGGTTTCACCTGGCAAAAAGGTATTGGGATGGGAATTATGTGTACAAAGTTTAAACAATTAAGCGTGTTTTTTTCTAGTACCTGGCACTAATTTTGTCAAAATTGACAAGAGTAAAGTACCCCTTGGAGGCAATGGGGGGGAAAAATTGTTCCACCTGGCAAAAAGGTATTGGGATAGGAATTATGTGTACGAAGTTTAAGCAATGTAGCGTGTTTTTTGTAGTACCTGGCACTAATTTTGTAAAAATTGACAAGAGTAAAGTACCCCCTGGAGGCGATGGGGGGAAAAATGGTTTTACCTGGCAAAAAAATATTGGGATAGGAATTATGTGTACGAAGTTTAAACAATTAAGCGTGTTTTTTTCTAGTACCTGGCAATAATTTTGTCAAAATTGACAAGAGTAAAGTACCCCTTGGAGGCAATGGGGGGAAAATTGTTCCACCTGGCAAAAAGGTATTGGGATAGGAATTATGTGTACGAAGTTTAAGCAATGTAGCGTGTTTTTTGTAGTACCTGGCACTAATTTTGTCAAAACTGACAAGAGTAAAGTACCCCCTGGAGCCGATGGGGGAAAAATGGTTTCACCTGGCAAAAAGGTATTGGGATAGGAATATGTGTACAAAGTTTATGCAATTAAGCGTGTTTTTTTCTAGTACCTGGCACCAATTTCGTCAAATTGACAAGAGTAAAGTACCCCTTGGAGGCAATGGGGGGAAAAATTGTTCCACCTGGCAAAAGGTATTGGGATAGAAATTATGTGTACGAAGTTTAAGCAATGTAGCGTGTTTTTTGTAGTACCTGGCACTAATTTTGTCAAAACTGACAAGAGTAAAGTACCCCCTGGAGCCGATGGGGGAAAAAAATGGTTTCACCTGGCAAAAAGGTATTGGGATGGGAATTATGTGTACAAAGTTTAAACAAGCGTGTTTTTTTCTAGTACCTGGCACTAATTTTGTCAAAATTGACAAGAGTAAAGTACCCCTTGAAAGCAATGGGGGGAAAATTTTTTCCACCTGGCAAAAAGGTATTGGGATAGGAATTATGTGTACGAAGTTTAAGCAATGTAGCGTGTTTTTTTGTAGTACCTGGCACTAATTTTGTCAAAATTGACAAGAGTAAAGTACCCCCTGGAGCCGAAGGGGGGAAAAATGGTTTCACCTGGCAAAAAGGTATTGGCATAGGAATTATGTGTACAAAGTTTATGCAATTAAGCGTGTTTTTTTCTAGTACCTGGCACCAATTTCGTCAAAATTGACAAGAGTAAAGTACCCCTTGGAGGCAATCGGGGGACAAATTGTTCCACCTGGCAAAAAGGTATTGGGATAGGAATTATGTGTACGAAGTTTAAGCAATGTAGCGTGTTTTTTGTAGTACCTGGCACTAATTTTGTAAAAATTGACAAGAGTAAAGTACCCCCTGGAGGCGATGGGGGGAAAAATGGTTTTACCTGGCAAAAAAATATTGGGTTAGAAATTATGTGTACGAAGTTTAAACAATTAAGCGTGTTTTTTTCTAGTACCTGGCACTAATTTTGTCAAAATTGACAAGAGTAAAGTACCCCTTGGAGGCAATGGGGGGAAAATTGTTCCACCTGGCAAAAAGGTATTGGGATAGGAATTATGTGTACGAAGGTTAAGCAATGTAGCATGTTTTTTGTAGTACCTGGCACTAATTTTGTCAAAACTGACAAGAGTAAAGTACCCCCTGGAGCCGATGGGGGAAAAAATGGTTTCACCTGGCAAAAAGGTATTGGGATGGGAATTATGTGTACAAAGTTTAAACAATTAAGCGTGTTTTTTTCTAGTACCTGGCACTAATTTTGTCAAAATTTACAAGAGTAAAGTACCCCTTGGAGGCAATGGGGGGAAAAATTGTTTTACCTGGCAAAAAGGCATTGGGATAGGAATTATGTGTACGAAGTTTAAGCAATGTAGCGTGTTTTTTTGTAGTACCTGGCACTAATTTTGTCAAAACTGACAAGAGTAAAGTACCCCCTGGAGCCGATGGGGGAAAAAATGGTTTCACCTGGCAAAAAGGTATTGGGATGGGAATTATGTGTACAAAGTTTAAACAATTAAGCGTGTTTTTTTTCTAGTACCTGGCACTAATTTTGTCAAAATTGACAAGAGTAAAGTACCCCTTGGAGGCAATGGGGGGAAAAATTGTTCCACCTGCAAAAAGGTATTGGGATAGGAATTATGTGTACGAAGTTTAAGCAATGTAGCGTGTTTTTTGTAGTACCTGGCACTACTTTTGTCAAAATTGACAAGAGTAAAGTACCCCCTGGAGCCGAAGGGGGGAAAAAATGGTTTCACCTGGCAAAAAGGTATTGGGATAGGAATTATGTGTACAAAGTTTATGCAATTAAGCGTGTTTTTTTCTAGTACCTGGCACCAATTTCGTCAAAATTGACAAGAGTAAAGTACCCCTTGGAGGCAATGGGGGGAAAAATTGTTCCACCTGGCAAAAAGGTATTGGGATAGGAATTATGTGTACGAAGTTTAAGCAATGTAGCGTGTTTTTTGTAGTACCTGGCACTAATTTGGCAAAATTGACAAGAGTAAAGTACCCCTTGGAGGCAATGGGGGGAAAAAATGGTTTCACCTGGCAAAAAGGTATTGGGTTATGTATTATGTGTACGAGGTCACAGCAATTTACCGCGTTTTTTTCTAGTACCTGGCACTCATTTTGTCAAAATTGACAAGAGTAAAGTACCCCTTGGAGGCAATGTGGGGAAAAATTGTTCCACCTGGCAAAAGGTATTGGGTTATGTATTATGTGTACGAAGTTACAGCAATTTACCGCGTTTTTTTTTAGTACCTGGCACTAATTTTGTCAAAATTGACAAGAATAAAGTACCCCTTGGAGGCGATGGGGGTGAAAATGGTTTCACCTGGCAAAAAGGTATTGGGATGTATATTACTTGTCAGAAATATTAACTCCTAACTATTACTCGTTTAGTACCTGGCAGCGGTCAAATTCCAATCCGCAAATTAGACATACCCTTTAATTTGTTTTATAATAGACCATTATTACAACAGTCTAAAGACTTTGCCGATGGATTATTAAATGCGAAAAATAAATAAAAGTTTTAAGTTTTCTGTTTATTATACATACACATGTTTACAATGTAATACATAATATATACATATAAAAAAAAAAAAAAAAAAAAAAAAAAAAAATGATACCTATATATTTACTAATTATTATCATTATTATTAATTGTACCAAATTTATAAATTTTTCATAATAAAGCAATCTTTGTAAAAAGAAACAGTTTTACAAATAACCGAAACCCATTCCTATACTTACAAACTCAGGAACGTTAAGTTACGTCACCTCAACTCTTTAAACATCTATACCAATGTGATCTTTTCGAAGGACGGCCTATTGAAGTATAATTAGAAGTTAAACGACTTACCTGTAAGGAAGTTCAACCTTCAATTATACGAAATAGGCCGTCCGAGAAAAGATCACTCCCGCCCGGCCCTCAAAAAACCCAAAAAGGTGACGAAACTCTCCCGAAGAACAAGAATGACTAATATATACCGGTAAAAATGAGGCCTGGGCGAAATTTCTTATCACTGTAAACACTACGCCGATAGATCGTATCAGAACGAAACTATACCAATGTGATCTTTTCTCGGACGGCCTATTTCGTATAATTGAAGGTTGAACTTCCTTACAGGTAAGTCGTTTAACTTCTAATTATTTTTATTACATTCTCACAGTAAAGTACTTTTAAATAAAATCTTACCTTTTGTACGACTTCAAATTATTCCTCAGAGTGTCTTGATGGCCCGTACCTTGTGACACAAATTCAAAAAATGCTTTCGGTAACATTTCTTTAGCGTATTCTTCATATTCACTCATACTTGTAAGATTTGCTGCCATTGTATATTTACACAAAAATAGAGAGCAATGCGAATTAAAAAATATTTTGTTCAAAAGTACCTGTGTACCTAAGTTAAAAATTAAATTAATAATTTTTATATACAGTATCGAAGATAATGTGAAATTGACAAATATTTTTGTTTAATTGATGAAAGAAATGATATTTTAATGTCTAGACGATAACCAAGCTGGAATTTCGACTAATTTGTCTTCAACTTAAAACGTACAGGATGGGTTTAAGCTTGATATTTACTTAATTATTGTACGGAAAAACCTCATTATATTCTTTAATAATACTAATCTATTTAGATCTATTTTTGTTTTTTTTTATATAGATTGACAGAAAAATATTTTTTATCATTTTCTAAATAAGTTGCTGGAATTAATTAATACCAAAACTAATTTGATTAATACAATAAGGTCAACAGTGGACCTACGAAATTCTAGCGAATCTATATTAAATGGCAGGGTCGGCGCTAGAGGTGGCCAAGCCGGACCCTTGAAAATTAGCTGTAAAATTATCTAGTTTAGAAAAAAAAAATGATTAAAACAAGTTTCATTTCAATACTTATGAAAAATGTTAATAAAATTTGCTTTTAATATGTTTTATGAACATTTATAGGTGCCCGGGCTCATTTCAAAGATCCTCAAGTGTGAAAACGATGTAGTAAAACCAAATTCATAACCGAACCAAAAATACAGAACAATATAAAGAAAATATCCAAATATTTTAAGGTAACCGTTCACAAACATAAAAAACTCCCGTTGATATTTCTAGGTTTCAGTAAGGCTTTCTTGAAGAAAAATTTAAAATTTTCTGACGTAATTTGACAGAGAAACGTTCAATATTTTCATAGTGAAATTCGATGGGTTTGGGTCCGAAAGAACCCATCGTTTTGCGTTTTTTATTTATTATAAAGTAAACTACTATTTTATATTTTTAAAAACCGTAACCGTAATACGAGGTACAGACATCTTTTTGTAGTACTTAATTATTAAACGTCTCTTTATCAGAGATAATTTTCTTTTAATAAGAGCAAATTATTTAATGAAATGCCTAGCAATATCAAAAGTAAATTGTCACTCAACAGTTTTAAAGAACTTTAAAAAAGCACTAAAAAAATTATTTTTTGGGAACAAAAAGAGATACCTACTACATTATTATCTTTTACTTTATTACTTCCATCATCAGTGGCTTAGCCACGCTGGGTTTTGGGTGTTAGAACCCCATTCCTAGAAGGCCTTCGCGTTATCTTTTATCCGTTCTCTTAACTGTTTGTTTTTACTGTTTTTATCGTTCTATAAAAAATTATTTATTTTTATTCTTGTTTTTTAATGCAATACAGGGTGTCCCAATAAAAAGTAGCCCATATTTCCAGAGCTTATAACTTTTAAACACCTAATAGAAACGTGCGGTTTTTGCTGATATGTTATTTTGCTTCAGTTATACAGAAATTATATATTCTATACAGGTTGTTTTTTAAAAATCTCCTCTGTTAAATTCACCGTAACCAAATTTTATCAAATGGAAACGGGCTACTTTTCATTGCAACACCCTGTAGTATCTGAAATATTTCACTTTTTTGGTGGAATTTTCCCTCATAGTTTTCAGTATAACTCCTCCTATGAAAAATTTCTGGCTACGCCACTGTTTATAATATACTTTCATTATCCGTTTGTTTATGTTTTTTGTATTAAGTCTATTTTTACTTTCCTGTTTGTATACAGATAAGAACAGTATGATTTTTTCGACGGATTTTTACAATCTGGGGTCTACTGAATAATACGTTTGGATTATTTTCGCGATGATGTATGTGGGTGTGTATGTATACTCGATAACTCATACTCATAAATAAATACAGAGGAAAACACCAAATTTTGAACTTAAGCTTTAATCCATCATGCGGTGAGCTGATTAGATTTTAGGCATAGTCGGAAAATCTGGAGGCATTAATTAATATTTAACACCAGAGCTGTTAATGATTGAAGACATATTTTTTATCGTTGAATATGAACAAGTGTTTGTAGATACTAGGGTAACAGATAAAAGTAGAACAAGAGTTGACAATTTATTTACAAACTTATAAAAAGAAAATTTTATTATAGATGTCATTGAGCCTTTTATTTCGGATCACAGGGGTGTAACACTTAAACTAATTACCGATACAAAAAATGTAAACAATGCATTTTTAAGAAGGCCAATGACTGAGAGGGCCATAAATAATTTTAGATCTGTATTAAAAAAGTTAACTTGGGATTTAAATAAATTTAATGAAAACGACCAAACTAATATTATTATTGACGTTTTATCTAAACTGTACCTACAATGTTTTCCTGAAAAGAAGGTAATCAAAAGTAAAAATAATTTAGCAAACACTCAAAATGTAAGTTACATTAAGTCAAACTTAGATGCTACTTAAGTAATATTCAATTCTACGAAGTCGCCGGAAAGTTTCAAATTATTATCGTTTTTAAAAAAGGAATACCGTAATTTTGTTAATAAGGAAACGGTACTTTCCAATTTCTTCTGCTTCTACCTACATGTTGTAAGCGACCAGCTCGTCTATACAGGTTAATCTTAGCAAAGTGGAGAAAGATAATGAATAATTGGAATACTATATTTTTCGTACAGAGTTAGATGATGTTATTTTTAAATATTATTTTCGTGGTACTCACTCCTTTTTAAAAATATATTGAGATATAAAAAATATGGTAATTTTTTTTGGAACATCTTCAAAATATCCTATTAATATTATCATGTAAAACCTAATGCTTATCGTAATTAAAAAATAGACCAGTCCTTTACATTGGCCTGACATATAGTGCTAAAGTTATGCCTCAGTCCCCTTCCATTTCAAAATTCCGTTATTTTTAAAACAAAGATGCATTTTAATAAAATATTTTTGTGCCAATACTATTTCTATTCCTACGAAAAAAAATAAGACATATCGGGATTTATAATATGGATCGGCATCACTGCAATATATCCGTCGAGTGCACAAAATGCGTTCATCTGCGAGTCAGTAGCAGAAGCTTCCGTCCAAATTAGGAAAAATAGTTTTGAGAACGTTTTTAGTTTGTCGCTGTTATGACGGGTTTTAATATACCTATGTAAGGGCTCCCGATCGCCACCCACACGGCAATTATCCCTATTTAGCGCGCCAATAATAAAAAAAAATATATATTTTAAAAACATGTTTCATCTACACACTATTGTTCTGTATACATTCGTGCTCTTATCTGGCTATACGCCACCGAGAACCGCGGATAAGTAATATAGGTAGAAAGATTGAAAGGGGGGTAGCCATGTGTGAGTTGAAGTAATTTTAAGGTGAAGGGGGGAGAAAAAGTCCTTTATATCTCACAAGGAAAGTCCAATGTTTAATTATTCAACAAAACATTGAGTGCGACCGGTTTCGAAGTAACATCACTTCATCTTCAGGCTCGCCTAGTGGAAAGGAGAATATGTGGTGTAAGGTGTGTTGACTTTGAGCCCACAATATATAAAATAGTAAAAAATAGAAAAAACTCACCATACTCTCCATCCATGTAGTATTCCCTAGTGGATGGAGAGTATGGTGAGTTTTTCTATTTTTTACTATTTTATATATTGTGGGCTCAAAGTCAACACACCTTACACTACATATTCTCCTTTCCACTAGGCGAGCCTGAAGATGAAGTGATATTACTTCGAAACCGGTCGCACTCAATGTTTTGTTGAATAATTAAACATTGGACTTTCCTTGTGAGATATAAAGGACTTTTTCTCCCCCCTTCACCTTAAAAAAAATAGGTAGAAAGAGTGCGCATACATTAGCATGCGAACACTTATTGGAAAAGTACGTGTTGTTGTTTATCTGTTGTAATCCAAGAAATTTTTCAAGATGGACTGTGAAGCTTCATGTGTGCACTTCTTATTCAAGTATTGACAATAATGTATTTATTTGTTTCTTGCCTAATAATAACGGCAGCTTTTGGTGGACCTAATTTTATTAATTCCTTTTTGTATACGGCTAATTTCTTCGAGGGCTACAAAAAAAGTTCCGCCAAGTTCCACTCTCGTTTTCTATGATATAGTTAGATAAGACCTTTATCTTTAAGAGCATAAAAAAAATTTACGCCCTCGACTGTCTGATACAAGTTATTTTGTTTAGAGGTTAACAACGTTGATCTGCATTTCCCCAAAATCACTAGAAATGAACTTTTTTGTTTTACAAAACGATAAATTCTTTGAACTGTCGATTGCTAAGTGCATTGAAAAGGTAGAACAGTACATATTAATTAAATTTAATACATCAGAAATTCCCACGTGCTCGGAAAAAGGTTTTAAATGTACTATAAAGATATTCGTGTTGAAACTTATCAAAAAGTGGAAGATATGCAAAAGTACAATCAGATTCACCAAAAAAATATGCTATATGGATAGATAGATAATAATTCCTAGATTGGACTCTAATATATCTGCAACACTCACGGCAGAAGCAGTAAGAAATTATCAAAAATGTGGAAAATCAAATAATTTTTTCGATGAGAGCTCTGTACGATCGAAGTTAAGAAAAGTAGAACCTCTTGTGTCAAGCATGTCCAAAGAAACACTTTGCAAAGCTGCAGAAATGAGTCTGTTCAAAAGTGAAGAAAGAACTTCGACGCAAGTTGTGAAATATTAGTATGACGATAGTCTAATTTATTTAGTTTATTTATTTAAAACACACTATTTACAATTTATTTATGATGTACTATTTAATTTATATAATACTTAGACACTAACTATCAATTCTAATTTATTTATTACAATTTAACTTTTCATTCCAATACTGTTTAGTAAACTGTCTATAATCAACTAACTGCCGTCTTCAAACTCGCGATATTTATATCAAGCCAACTCTGTAACCAGAATACTCTAGACCAACTGTACTCAACCTTTTTTTCTTTCGGGCCACATAAATCCTGTTTGTTATGCTACATGGGCCACAATATTTTTGAGTGATAATTAGAGTTGCCACCTTTTTGAAATGTAAATAAAGGACAATGGGTGACGATAGGGACCTGCTTTAAACATTTTCTAAAAAAAAATTTGTAAGGACAGGACTGTAGGTCAGCCATTTCAATTACTAATAATCGTGTTTAGGACTGCACAAAAAAGCTTGGAGGGCCGCAAAAAAAAGCTTAAAGGGCCGCAGGTTAAGTATGACTGCTCTAGACGCTCCCGAAAATTCCATCTGACTCAAAGGTACACTCCGCCCGTTCTAACCGTTTCTCGAGCGTTAGCGGCATTTCTAGAACATTCCGTCGTTTCGAGCATGAGTCGGATGTTAAGCTTAAGGTCGTTTGCTTTAGACACAGGGTCGGCTTAGGAATTTCATGACATTACCTATAAACTCGTCTCCGCGCACAGAGAAAAAACGAAAGAAATGCATAATTCGTCATCTTTTTGATTCATGGCTGTTCACTCCAGAAGAAGCATTAGCTTGTACGGTTGTATCACTCACGCACGGAAGACATCGAGATTAGAACCGAACAGAGACATAATGAATAGAATACTACTGTCATCAGACCCCGTGATTACAAATACAAAAAAAGCGAAATAAACCCTTTTCAGAAGCTGTACTAAGTATGTTACTTTTTTAAGTAATAGTTTAGATCAGCGGTACTCAAACTTTTTTCGTTCGAACCACATAAATCTGTTTGTGATGCTACACGGGCCACCAACATACTTTTTTTCTTTCTTGAATAACTTTTTCTAAAAAAAAAGGTCCTTTTCTCCCTACTTGAATTACTCTTTTTTACACTTAACTTTCCTCATTTCTCATGCAGAACAATTTCTAATAGAAATGCGCAAAAAAGCTTTGAGGGCCGCACAAAACAGCTTGGAGGGCCGCATGCGGGCCACAGGTTGAGTATGGCTGGTTTAGATGATGTACATAGTAATATAAATCCAGATATTTACTGATAATTCCGAATAAAAAACTAATTTCTATACATTATTTGTATTTCAGTTAATTATTAAAATAATGACGTAAAGCGTTCTCAAAATGTATGTGCATTATTTTCACGTATTTTAGTACTGTTATTATAAATTATTAAAACTTGACGCCTTAATTAGATAACTAAATAAAATTTAATTTATAAACCACTTTTTATGTATTTTTCTACGCCCATGTCAGTAAACGTTAAAAATCGCACTGTCAACATTCCTTGTAAATGACATTTTATAATAACATGCACATAATGAGATTTCATAACATACACGTGCGTTTTGATAAAAAAAAACTTAATCAAATTTTTATCTACGCTCGACTTTATTTTGTCTATTTACATAAATTTAGTGAATTTAAAAACAAAAACTTTTAGTTTTAGCGAGATACATTTTGAATTAAAAAAGTGATGCCCCTAAATGTCGACAACACATTATACAAAATATTGTATTCGAACATTTTTTTTAACTTTACCTATGAATGTAACTGTTAGTAGGAAAAGTGATAAAGCATAATGGGTTACTTACAACTCTTGTTACGTAAGGCGAGTTCGGATAGACAGGGGCTGGAGCGGAACAAATTTTAGGGTGCTTTTAAATGACATTTAAGCGTGTTAAACTGTCACTAATCGGACTAAACCGAACGCTAAAAGGGTCGTTTGGAGTTAAAAGTGTTAAAGGAGTTAAAGGAACTTGGCAGACCGAACGCAATGGTAATATACTATATTATGTGAAATGTGACACCCTGACAGTATTCAACCACTTACATTATTCTTTCAATTAAATCTAAGCAAAAAAATTATTTTGAACAATGCAACTATTTTTGGCAAGCTAATTCTCGCTAATTGCCGTATGTGCGCCGAGGAGGTCGTATTAAACGGCCGCTTTAACAATATCGTCATAGTACCGTAATAGATCATTCTCCGGTATACAGTGGTTCTCGCTTCATTAATTAAAAAATTATTTTATTATTATCATCATCGTTGTACTTACTTGTATTTCAAAACAGGTAAAATTCCACTTCGTTCCTTTTGAAGTAACGCCATCCATACGCTATATACTTGTAACCAGTCATCTTATTAAGGAAAATTAGGAACTCAAAATAAATACACACCAGTATCCAGAGAGGTGAATAACATTTAATTAAACATAAATTTTAAAACATCTCACACAGATTAACATATTATACAATATAATGAAACTTTCCAATCTACAAACTAATTTACATCTACTCTTTTGTGTTAGATAAAAATTTCAACTAAAACATCAACAAAATAACGTTCAGTGTTTCATTCTCAATGCACACAATTTTTGAGAAATCACAGCGAACCATTACTAACAAAACGATTACTATCCGAATGGGAAATATTTACAGAAATTTGAAAATTAAAAGAACGAAATGGGTAAAACTAGTATTAATCCCATTAGGTTCTTTTTTGTAGTTTTTCTGTAAATATTCGATAAACATTTGGATAGAAACCGTTGAGCTGTTGAATACCATTGACTAGAATGAAAAAAGTCACTAATGCAAGTCTTTAAATGCACCCTTAGTAGCAAAACTTGCCCAGGAACTTTTCCTTTAATCTAAACCGATAGTTTCGTGTGAAAATTTTAATAAGTACATATCAAAGCAGTACGTTATATATATAAGCAATTAAAGTATAGGTTACATTATTATTTATATACGCTTTTATTTTTAAAGCTATACACACACAACATTTAGATTAAATTTTGTTTTATTAATTTTTTATAAAATAGCTTAACGGGAAAGCACAAAACATGCATTATGAGCTGTTTTAGATTTTTACAGTGAAGTATTTAAATGAACTTAAGGCTACAAGACAACATGAATCAACTCGACGACCCGACACTAAACTCGGTGATTTTTCTCAAGCGGTGAAGGTTACACAGGAGTAAATAGTTTTTTTTTTTTTTTCTAAACGATTTGTGACAGGAACCGAAACGACAGAATTGATTTGAGTTTACTAGAACTTCTCTAATTTGCGACAGCTAAAATATCGGGCCTCAAGTTGAGCTCGCGCGATCGCGAAAACTTAAACGTCTACGACCATCTTCTTGTGGATGTCGGTGTTTCCCACGACGTTGCAGAACTCCTCGAAGGAGATTTTGCCGTCTTCGTCCTTGTCGGCGAAGAGGATGGTTTTATCGACGATTTGTTGGAGTTGGGTGTCCTTTAGATTGTTGCCGACCATCATTTTTAGAACCTACACAGTAATTTTCTTTTAGAATTCGCCTAAACTCACTGAGCATCTACTAATAATAGTTGCATACTATCGATAGTTTGTTACTATCTGAAAATATTGCCAAGCACTTAAAGTCTCAGCTATCATCAATACATTGTCTATGAAATACAAACAACGGGGAAAATGGAACAATCACAAACAAAAAAAGGTTGGCGAGTTAAGAAAGACAAACTACATAAACTATCCGAGGACGTGGATAAGATACTCAGAACCAAAGATAAATTAATTAACGCACAAGAACTAGGCAAAATCATACAGTCAGCATGTAATATAGTATTTCCAAAAAAGACACATGAACACTGTAGGAAACCGGTATATTGGTGGTGTGAGGATGTGGCAGAGAAAAGAAGGAGCTGTCTGAAGAATAAAAGAGCTATGGTAAGGGCAAATAAACGAGATGACGGTAGAACAAAAATCGTGCATCAAGAACAGTATAGGCGAAGCAGCCATTCTAAAAAAAAAAAAAAAACGATATTTGAGGCTAAGAAAAAAGCTTGGAAGACTCTAATAGAAGAAGTAGATAACGACGTATGGGGAAAGGGTTATCAGATCGTCACGAACAAACTAAGATCCGCACCACCCATGAAGAAGCGGAAGAGGTTCAGATGGAAATAGCCTGTAAACCCGGAGATAATATGGATGAGGCTTCCTGAGAATGACGACAAATCACCACGTTCAGCAAGGACGAACTCTTAGCAGCAGCCTTAAAAATCAAGGATAAGAAAGCCGCAGGACCTGAAGGAATACCACCGGGAGTGGTAAAGACAATTTTAAAAGACCACTCAGGGAGATGTCTAAAAGTATTCAACCACCACTATCAGAGAAGGGAATTTCCAAGACAATGGAAAAGAGCAAGGTTAGTGCTATTAGAAAAAGAGAAACCGGGACAACTAGAAAAAGCCTACCGACCAATTTGTGTACTGAACGTACTAGGGAAAGTGCTAGAGCAGCTGTTACTGATCAGACTAAACTCGGAAATAGAAAGAACGGGAGGACTTGCTACTGAACAGCATGGATTCAGAAAGGGTAAATCTACTATTAGTGCCAAGAAAAAAGCACAAGAGCTAGCTGACGCAGCAAACAAAAGGCCTCACAGTGAAAGAAAACTTTGTGTATTAATAACGATGAATGTCCAGAATGCTTTAATTCTGCTCCTTGGGGAGGAATACTAGCAGAGCTAAAAAGAAGAGGGGTTGCTAGCCAAATTTACAACATGATAGCAAGTTACCTAGAAGATAGGACGTTAGTAGTAGAAACCAAGGAAATGAAAGTAACATGCGGGGTACCACAGAGATCAGTGATAGGGCCTACCCTCTGGAATATATACTACGATGGAGTGTTTAGGATTCCAATGCCTAGCGGTTCAACTTTGAAACCTTGTAACTTCAAAAATGGTTACAATTTTAAAACGTGGTCTTTAAAAATATATTTCGACACTATTTATAAATATTTTATCAAATTTTGAAGTATCTAAATCAATTAGTTTGGACATGGTGATGAAATAAAGGCAACAATGTAAATTCTTAAAAAAACCAAGTTCAACTTTGACATCTTGTAACTTCTAAACTTATTAAAATTTTAAAATGTGGTCTTTAAAAATATATTTCTACACTATCTATAAATATTTTCTCAAATTTTGAAGTCTCTAAATCAATTATTTTGGACAAGGTGATGAAATAAAGGAAACAATGTAAATTGTTAAAAAATCCAAGTTCAACTTTGACACGTTAACACTTCAAAACTAGTTAAAATTTTAAAATGTGGTCTTTAAAAATATATTTCTACACTATCTATAAATATTTTCTCAAATTTTGAAGTTTTTAAATCAATTAATTTGGACATGGTGATGAAATAAAGACAACAATGTAAATTGTTAAAAAATCCAAGTTCAACTTTGACACCTTGCAACTTCAAAACTTGTTTAAATTTTAAAATGAGGTCTTCAAAAATATATTTCTATACTATCTATAAATATTTTCTCAAATTTTGAAGTCTCTAAATCAATTAATTTGGACATGGTGATGAAATAAAGACAACAATGTAAATTGTTAAAAAATCCAAGTTCAACTTTGACACCTTGCAATTTCAAAACTTGTTAAAATTTTAAAATGTGGTCTTCAAAAATATATTTCTATACTATCTATAAATATTTTCTCAAATTTTGAAGTCTCTAAATCAATTAATTTGGACATCGTGATGAAATAAAGACAACAATGTAAATTGTTAAAAAATCCAAGTTTAACTTTGACACCTTGCAACTTCAAAACTTGTTAAAATTTTAAAATGTGGTCTTCAAAATATAAAATATAACCTACGACGTGAATTTTCGTTATTGTAAAAGGAAACCGTTGTTCGGGAAACTATTTAAAGGAAATTCGTAAACATCGCAAAGAGGGAAAACATGATTATTATTCGGACGAAACCTGCAAAATCTGGATTAATCAAGGGTACATAATCACAAAAGTTTGGTAAAATTACAGAAAATACAAGACTGCAACTTAGCGGATCTGCAAATATGGCGGAGTTACAGACGCAAGGTACAAAGTATAATTTTTTTTTGTATTCCAAAAAGCATCTACAAATCCGCTATATTTATTGTCGAAAAACTGGTTTATAACTCCCTAACAACACTAAATAACCCAAATTCATAACTCCACGAACTATATTTATTCAATAGCAAGAGAAAACTTTAATTATAAAAAAAATAAAGAAAATGTTGACATATTATTGTTTGCAGATGATTTGCAGATCCAAAATTTAGAAAACACGTTTCTGTAATACCATGTTTCTCATTTGCAGAGCTTCTGTAATCTTACCCTTAGAAATTAAAAATCATAGAGATGTTTTCTTATAAAGGTCCTCTAAGGGATGAAATCACCTGTAGACCTAATTTTAAGTTCAATTTACTCAATTTTTTCAAATGGAACACCCTGTATTTTATTTTAGCATAAAATTCCTTATAAATGTACCTATCCAACAGGTTAGCCAATTTTACATATACAGGGTGTTCCACGATAATTATTTTATTACAGGAAATACGAATAAATTTTTAATATAAAAGTTGTATGACAATATTCAATAATAATTCTTAAATATACAGGGCAATCCATAAATAAGGGGCTAACCAGATTTATATTCTTTTAAATTAAACAATCTGGATGACATATTTCGTTAAACAATTATTTTAATACTTAAAATTCCTTTCCTATTTTCATTCATTTGTTATTATGTATACAGGGTGTTCCTAAATGCGAGATTGCGATATTTTCAATTTTTTCAATTGAGTAAATTAAACTTGAAATTTAGACATGTTTCAATATACTCTGTATAAAATAAATCAGTTATATCACCACTATTCGTTATGAAATCATTGCAAACCTACTTAAATAATAATTCAATTGCTTGTCAACCCTGTAATATTTTTTTACAAAGATTCTAGGATTGAATACAGTATTACCAAACCAATCTAAAATTGAAACAAAATACAAGGTGTTCTATTTAAAAAAATTTACATTTTTATTTGCCAGCCAAAAACGTAACACCCTGTATATTCAAATATATTTTTATAATGTTTTTTTTATCCTTGTAACTTTTATTTGAAACGTATTTACGTGTCTGTAACAAAAATTGATTTACAGAGCAATTATGTACTAAAGGGACACCACCCTGTATTTTGGATTTTGACTAATTTTAAAATTTTGAAAAATCTTGAGCGACATCTAAAAAAATTTTTTTTGAGCTACTCTTTGGAGAGTGGTCTTAAAAAACGATAAATTAATATATTTTCGTAAGAGATTAAAAAAAATTGTCGGTTTTTTGCGCCACCCTAGTATTTATCCTGCTAATGAAAATCTTCCTTATAACACGAAAAACCTCTCATTACGTGCCAATAATCAATATTTAATTAATAACAACTCAGAATTCTTTACAGCCACTAATTTTTGCCGGCTGATTAATGGCCACTTCGACAAATGAACTGCTTTAACCAATAAACCGATTTGCCAAAGCTATTTTCAGTTTTTGGGGTGATTGTAACGGCTTTTCATAATAAATTTACGGCTTTTCCGTTGAACTATTAAAATTTTATTATACGGCACTTAAATATATCCACAAATACTAAAATTACTACGAATTATATGAAACGTGTTCAATAAATAACACCAAACATTGTTTCCATTACTGTTCAATTTTGATGCCTTGTAACTTGAAAACTTGTTGAAATTTCGAAAATGTGGTTTTCAAAATTATATTTCTACACATTTTGTAAATATTTTCTCAAATTTTGAACTTCATATATCAATTAGTTTAGAAATGATGAAGAAATAAAGAAATTAACAAAATTTAGAAACTAACATTTAAAGAATACAGAATATGGATTTAAATTAAAAAAAAAAGAAACATGAAAATGTGCATAATAAATGTGGATTTAATGAACCAATTTGGATATTTGAAACAATTTTATATAGGGTGATCCATTAGTGTGGAAAATTACCAATATTTCCGACACAGTTTGGATATAAACTGGAGGGCAAAATTAACCTAAAAACTGGCGTTTAAAAAAGTTTAAGATGTTCCTAATTAATGTTTAATTTATAATAAATCAAGAATTCAATAAAGAAAAAATTTAAAATACAGGGTAAACCGTAGAATTAAAAGTTAAAAGGCCAAGCTAAAAATATTATTTCCTCTGTAATATGGGGAAAGATGGTATTCAAATGTAATATAACAGTTATTTTAAAACTATTCTGACTTCTATACGAATGCAGTATGGATTGATTACCACCACCGACATTTTATAGGTAGTTTAAAGTGACGAGATTTTTAAAAATCGAAAACCATAGACAACAAATTCTATTTGCAGTAATGATGGTTTGGTTTATTTTAGCGAGAAAAAAAACGTCATATCACAATAAAAACTGTCTTTTTAGGAGACTTTTTTTAATCGTTTTTAATCGAACAAACGCGGAACAAAATTGTTTTAAAACGGACAAAAGCGAGACACATGTTAAATTGCAAATAGAGATGAATGGTCACTTTAAGGCAGTTAGCAGGATGGTGAAAATGTTGATTCAAGACCTTTCTTACCTCACTTACCACCTCCGATGTTTATAATACCGTTGGGAACATTTATATAAACTAACAACCTCTTATATTATTTTCTAATTATGATTTTACCTGGAATAGTTCGCCATTTGAGATGAAACCATCGTTATCCATGTCGTAAATTCGAAAAGCAAATCTCAATTTTGATAGTTTATCTCCTTTGACACTGAATTGAGAAACACCTTGGATGAATTCTAGAAAATAAAACATCCCTTACATAATTTTGCGCCACACTTGTTACTTATACAGGATAAACCCTAAGTTGATACTATTTTTACCTGTGTAAAGTCATTAAAATATACAACTTTAAAAAACAACTCTAAAAATAAAAAAATATATTAAAATGTATCCTATACGGTCCTGTAATGTGTTCAAATTTGTCACTATTCATTGAAGCGTTGAAACACGAAGTATAGTTGTCTCAGAATTTGGTGGGAAAGAGCAGAAATTGAATTTTGAGCATAGTTGGAACACTGTAGGTTAAGTTTAAGAATGCTATTCTTCTGAGTTTTTTCAGATTGCTCTACAGAATTCCCTGTATTTCTTATCTTTTAAGTGATGTATTTTAATTGTTTGTAAAGGCCTATATCAATAAAATCGTTTATTATTATCTGGGGGGTACTTTATAAGGGGTGCATTTTCTACTTATGGAATATATCTGTTATATACACTTGGAGAAGATAATTTTTGAAATAAAAGTTACTTGTAATATTATTCTCTATATTTTTTGTTATATACATAATTTTCCTAAAATGGTCCGTATTTGAGAAATTTGACAAAAAGTGCAAAATTGTATTTTTTTAAAAATTTTTCAAATAAAAATTGTTTATGATGTTATTCTTTATAATTTTAGATCCTTCTCTCAAAATAATATAAATAATCTTCTGCAAAATGAAACCTGGCATGACATGAGAAAAGCAACCAATGCAAATAAAAAAACTGAAGCACTTCATGATACATTTATGAAACATTTTAATGCCTCAATTCCAAATATATCCCAACCTAAAAGAAAATGTAATAAAAACTTGAGTTATATGAATACAGATGAAATAAAAGCACAAAAAGAACTAATTTTATTTTTACAGGACGTCATTAAAAACAAACCAATTGACTACAATAAAAAATTATATATTCAAGAGAAAACTAAATACAATGTATTGCTAAAAAATGTAAAACAAAATAACTTACTTCAACAAATTAATAATTCAGACAATAAATCTAAAACTGTATGGCAAATAATAAATAATGAAACAGGACATAATAATAAAAATAAAGTAGAATATTAAATCGATATAGAAACCTTTAATAAATTTTTTGTAAATCATTCATCTGATATACTAGAAGGCATCCTCAATAACAATAAAAATAAAATTGACCTAACTTATTATAATCAAAAACATCAGTCACTTTTCTTAGCTCCTTTTACTGAATCTGACACCATAGATATAATACAAAACATTAAATAAAAAAAAACTCAAGATATTTATGAAATTAATACCTATTTATTAAAAAACTGAGCCCAAAATATTGTTTTTCCTATTACTGTTGTTTAGCTGAAGGTACCTTTCTAGATATTTTTAAAACGTCCAAAAAAAAGGAGATGACTCAGTACCTGAAAATTTTCCCCAAATACATATTTTACCATTTTTTTTTTCTAAAATACTTGAAAGTGTTATAGTAAAAAGAAATGTGCATTTTTTTGAAAACAACAACTTGTTTTCTGTGGAACAATATAGTTATAGATAAGGGAGAACAACTACAGATGCCATGCTGGCTTTAATGAATAACATTCAGGAGTCTTTAGAAAACAAATTACAATGCGTAGCTATATTTATTGATCTGTCTAAAGCATTTGACTGTGTAAGTCACACATTGTTAATCAACAAACTAGATAAATATGGCATTAAAGGCATTGCAAATAAAATTGTTCAAAAAACTACTCCCAAAATTACCTAATCATAGTGTAATAGTTATGGACAATAAGATTCTGTATTATAATTTGCCTTAAGTGTATGATTTATCACCACTTAACGCAAGGACAGCTCCAAGGGGGACTATGGGGACCATGCCGCCCCCAGAATGAAAATTCCTACAATTTATGAGCCTTTTATTCAAAAAAATATGCTTTTAGCAATTTTGCCAAACTTATGCCTTTATTTTTAGCAGTCTACATTTCTTCACCGAATTCAAAGGCAATATAAACCATTTGCTGTTTATTCTGTACAACACCAATTTAATACTTTAATACATATGCATTTTGAAGACACTCACTATAAATATAAACCTTCTACTGAACAGTGAACACTTGAATAAATTACAATGACAGATAAGCTTATGATTCATGATTAAAACCTACCAAAAAAGGTTTAAAGATAAAAATATATACATTCAGCTTAATTTTTGACCATACAAATCCAGGCCCTGACTTACATTTTTTGATTCTCTTTTTCATGTTTTTTTTTTTTAAATTATTTGAAAATGAAGTTTATTTAAACAATTTCTAACCAGAAATAAAAAAAGTATCAACTTAGAATGTACCTTGTATATAGATATGTATGGCAAGTAAATAAGTACAATTTAAAATATAAAAAAATCAAGACAGCATCATCCTGGAGTTAAGAAAATGTATAATTAAAATTTACATTAATAGATACACATAACAAATAATTATAAACACAAAAACTTCTTAAAATCAAAATCTAATGTTGAATTATTAAATATTAAAATCTTGCAAACAATTATTGCAATAAATGTCATTGTGAAATCAAAACAATGTTTTAATTCCTGAAAATGATATTGCAATATATATTTTCAGTTTTGTTATTGTTCCACACTTTTTAGATTTTCTTTACAAACAAGAATTATTTATAATCTAATTAATGTAACACAGGTGAATTTGTATATTCTTTAGTTTATAGACATGAAGTATTTTTACAATCATACTGCATGATGTTGGGTGAGTCAAATGGCACCTTCAATAATCAATTAAATATTCAATTATATAAAGATTATAAATTATATTTAAAAATTTTGGGAGCAGTGAAACATGATGATTTTTGCAATAATTATATATTAAATTCTGATAACAAGGCAAAGACTTTGTGGAATATTATTAACAAAGAAATTGGTTGAGATAAAACAAATACAAAGCCAGAAAATTTAATTCCTGAAGATCTCAATATTTTTTTTATTAATAATGCGGAAAACATAATTCAGAATCTAGAGAAACCAGATAAAAATAAATATACCACAATTAAAATAATTCAATGTTTTTTCAGCCAGTTACCCAAACCAATATAGAATCAGTTGTAAAAGATTTAAAAAATAAAAGAACAGATGATATTGATGGATTTAATGTATTTATAATGAAAAAATGTATTTCTTTTTTGTCTAAACCTTGTCTAAACCTAAAGGTCTGTCCCCCTATTTAAAAAAGGAGACCCTTCTCAGCCTTGCAACTTCAGATAAATTCCTGTACTTCCCATATTCTCCAAAATCTTGGAAAAAACTATGTATAATAATCTAATATATTTAAATTCTTCCAACATACGCCATTCCAGTATGGTTTTAGAAGGGGGTGATCTACAATAGATGCAGTATTATCTCTAGTACAATATATAGAAAATTGTTTTGAAAAAGCTGAAAACTGTTTAGGTGTATTTACAGATCTAAGCTCTGCTTTTGACTGTGTGGATCATTCTATTATCAAAACTGGAGAGGTATGGAGTATGAGAGATTTGTTTACAGCTTTTTGAATCTTATTTAACTGACAGATGTCAAACAGTCATCACCAAAAATTGCAAAAGTTCATTGATGCATATCAGGAGAGGTGTCCCTCAGGGCTCAATTTTAGGTCCATTACTCTTTTTGATATACATTAATGATCTTCCTGATCTTGAAAACCTTATCACATGTATATTTGCTGATGATACTTCTTTTTGTATTAATACTAAAAGAGGGACAGATCTGATGTCATGATTCAGACAGAGGTGGTTTTTTGTAAACCTGTTTTTAAATGACACAAAAACTATCTCCCAATTATTTACAGTAAATAGTGAACAAGTTAATAACAATTCTGTTAAAACACTTGACATTCAAATTGATCCACATCTCAGATGGACAGATCATATTGAAGCACTTTGTTCCAAATTATCACGAGCAGTTTTTGTTATCAGGAAAATACCCCAAATATGTGGTCAAGATGCAGCAATTACTGCTTACTCTGATCTATTTCATAGTCATTTGACATATGGGGCAATGCTGCTGACACACATATCTCAAGAGTCTTTATTTTGCAAAGCAGTAATAATCTATCAAAACCTTCTATTCGCAAGAAATAATATTAACACATTTTTTCCCACTCAGATATCCATAACTATAATACAAGGCACAAAGATAACTTAGTCCCTATCCAGTATAGACTGGAAAGGACAAAGAAATATTATATTGACCTATACAATATACTACCACTTAATTTTAGAAATCAGCCTATAAATAAATTTAAACATGCATTAAAACAAATGTTATCCAATAATTGCCTATATAGCTTAAAGGAATTTAAATCAATACAGATGGAGGCTGTCACTGTGGCCTCTGAGTGATTCAGTGAACTATGTTGTAAATGTTTGTAAATGTCAATCTTATATTTTTATATTATTATATTTAGGTAAATTTTATTATATACATATTTAGTTTTAATTGTAATTTGACAAGCCATAAAATGTAATATTTTCTAAGGTAAATAAAGATATTGTATTAGTTGCAACAGGGGACATACAAGTCGCCTGGTCAGGTTTAGGGATCAAAATTCACTCATAAGAAAGTGAATTAGGGAGAGTATTGTTATATTCTAAAGAACTATGTCAAAAGATTAATAAAACTTCAAATATAGGTAGGTAATACAGAAGTGGTACACTTTAATTTACATTATTAACTTTTAAAATGAATATTTTGCTGGAAAGCACCTATTTTTGAAACCTTTTCATTAAAATAGTTTCGCTGTTAGTTTTTTTACCCTCCTCTGATAGAATTTATAACAAATCAGGTAGAATTTCAGTTGGATGAATAAATTACCTGTTAGGACAAAAGAAGAGAGATGAAGCCATGAAAATGTTTACCTTTTTTATAGATTTTACACAAAAAAAAAAAACAAAACAAAAAAAAAAACAAGAAAAAACACCAATGATATTAGAAACATACAAATATTGTATAGTTTTTATAAAGGGACTTATTTATACTTCAAAAATACACACTTACCTTTAAAATCAACCTCGCCATTACCATCAGCATCAAAAATATCAATCACACGTTGAACTAATGGATTTTGTTGCAATTCTGGAAGCGACATGAACTCATCGATACTCAGAGCTCCTGAATTATCCAAATCTAATTTTCTAAACCTTTTTCCAAGCCGTCGAATTTCGTCTGCATCAACTAAAATAGGAATAGGTTTAATAATAATCGCGCTTATATTCGATTGAGGTGTAATAACTTACAATTAGAGCATAGCTCCATGGGTAGAGAACTCTCGTTACCCTAAAAAACATGTTTAATCAGAAAATCTAGGTAAAAAACGGGTTATTAAAATGGGCTTGTCCCTGAAAACTAGGCTAAAGCAGGGCAACCTTGAAGGATGCCAAAATTAAGTTGAGCGAGCTATTCTAATAAAAAATATTATTAAGTAAATTGTTTGGATATAAATTTAGATTTTTACCATGGTCTGCTCCCTGTACACTGACTTTTAATTGATTTATGATTCTTTTCTAATGATCGACACTTTGTGGGGATAAATAATTATGCGTAGTTAATAGAACATGCATTGAGGGCGCTAGTAGTGCTCTTACTTGACGTTCCTGGATACGGATGACAATTTATTTAAAAAAATAAAATTAGTAATAAAATAAATCATTTGAATACCAAAAACCAACTAAAATTAAGTTATGATCTTAACTTTTCAATTATTAACGCATATTTAAAATGCTAAAAACAATATTTCAATTTTATTCTGTCTTATATTTAAATTTACCGCCATTTTTTTTATTTATCGACGAGCTATGTTCCGATTCTTTACAATTTTCAACTGTCAGCTTCAAATTACATTTCTCCAGTGGCGTAACAAAATAAACCACATACATTTGCTGCGTTTGAATATCCACATCGGATGCATCTGAGATGTGGTAAATCTTTAATAACGTAATTCAATATACGTAAATGTACATCAAGATAGAATAAAGTAGAGACGACATAAACACTATTTTGCGATATGACAAAATGGACGCACTTCAAGTGACGGAAAAGTGTAATTAAAATGGCGACTTGAGTCGTACTTTGATTTATCGGGACGGTGGTGTAGCGGTCTAACGCGCTTATATTCATTTATAGGCAAGTTTATGAGTCAGAGACTGCTGGGCTTCGAATCCCATGTGGATTTTTAATTAAATTGCATGGTTCGGTTTAGGATTTGATGTGTGCCGTATTAATAGAAATTCAATTTCTGTTGATATGACATGCAGATTATAAAAATCGCCATACATTACCGTCTCGATGATGGTGGGTGAGGTTTTCAGGGTTTTTCTCACCTGTAAGTCAAATGACACCATCAATCATCTTTAAGTCGCCCCGAAGCGCCACGGCAAATATTAATAATAGCCGTCCCTTTCCCCGCACAAGCTCAGCTTTTGGGGTTCAAATTCACTCGTAAGGGGGTGAATTAGGGAGAGTATTATTATATTATTATTATTATTATTTGAAGTCAATAATTTTATATTTAAAGGCTGACGGAATGAAAATAATTTTATATCATTATATGAAGCTATTTAACGAAAAATAGCATTTATTCTCACCAAAACTGACCAGCTACACCATCTCGAATTTGACATTGACGTAAAAATGTAATACAAAGGTGCGGACAATTTAACATCTCCTCGCTAGAGAAATCATCTAACTTTATGTGTGTAACATCAAGAATACCCCAAGTCTCCGTCCTTGGTCCCCTTTTGTTTTCCATACATATTTTAGACCTTTATAAATTATTGGAGCATGACGACACGCAACTATATTATTCCTTTGACCCATGTGAAGTAAATATAGCATCGCAAAACATTTTGGTTTGTTTTATTCTTATTAGGTATATTTTTTTATGTTTAAATTAAATACTTTATGTATTTCTTTAGTTCAATTCCAAATCCTTTCTGTAAAACCTAAATGTTTTAAAAGCAATACAGTATTTTTTGTATTATTATTATTATTATATTTTTTGACATGACAATAATGTCATATTTTGTTTTCAGTTCAATAAAAACGTACTTATTTTTAAAAACGTTATTTTGTATTTTTTGATCTATTTGCCGTCATTATTTTCACATTTAAAATAACCCAGAGCAATCCGTTTACGTACGCCACTGCTAAAGGTTCTAATATGAGCGAGAAAGCCTGCATTAGAAAAAGAAACACTGATTTTTGTATAGAAATTCGGAACTCGCCTTTTAATGACATTTTTATTTTGATATTTGACAAATGTTTTTGTTTGGGAGAAGTCAGAAAAGTGACACATGAATGACAAAAGTGACGGGCGTTCCGGGTTCTTGATGGGCGTATGAATAGTTTTAAAGTTGATTTTCTTCAAATAATCAATTTAGTGTTTAATTGTGATCAATTATAATAAGATTATTTGTTAGCAAGTAGTGTTTTGGAATCTAAAACCGAAATTAAGCCTACCATATCAGTATTTATTTCGTTAAACTATACCTATTCAAAATTTTTATGTGAGTAGGAAAATCCTCACAAATACAAATAATGGCTTGGAGATTCAAAGCTAGTAAATACAAGAATGCAGCTCCGATTGTGCCCAAACCCGAGACTTACGTCAGAGATATTTGTGTAGGATCTTACCAAACTTATGGAAGTAACATTGCTGCTTCTGCCAAGTTCATGGCATTTAATTGGGACCATGCAGGTTCTAGTTTGGCTGTGTTTCCCTTAGACGATTCTGGCAGAAAAGGCAAGCTAATGCCTCTTCTACACGCTCATACTGATACTGTGACTGATATTGCATTTTCTCCATTCCATGATGGGCTTTTAGCTACAGGTTCACAAGACTGTTTGGTAAAGTTGTGGCACATTCCAAAAGAAGGATTACAGGTAACTATACACAATCTGACTTATCCATGAAGATGCTGCATGTTTATTAAGATATTAACACATTTATAAACTGAAATTAGCATAGTATTATGAATAACGTTTCCTAAAATTGTCTTATAGGGCATATCCAATACTAATTCACTATGTAGTGAGTAAACTCCAGCATAAAACATTATTTTAAGTACTTAAATTGTTCTATTTATGAAGAGTGTTGTCCATATTTGGATTACAAATGTTCTGAATTTCTCAAGGCATCAATTATGCAAATTGCAGTATAATTATGAAATATAAAAATACAGTACCTTCTTACTTTTCCATATATTTAGAAGGGCATAATGACAACTGCATTTATTCCAAAATGGGCTGAGGATTGAGGCATCTCTCCTCCCTCTATCCCTCTAAGTACAACATAATATCGATCCTTTTAAGTTCAGATCTCATCAGTTTAAAAAACATATTTCCAAAATTATGTAACTAAATTAAATTAGGTTGTTTTGGTATAAATGTGATATTGTTGTGTTAGTATCACTTATGAAATTTTGATATATTTTGTTATTCTACTAAAATTGTAAAAATGGAGTTTCCATATAAATAAATAAAAATAAAAAATAAAATAAGTATTACAACAGGAAGCACAACTAATCAGATGCACTGTTGCCAATTATATTTTGTACACAAATGTACATTGTTTTGACAAGATTTCCCCTAAGAGTATTCTTGTTCCTATCACAAGTAAATAATAACTTTAATATTAATGAAAAATTAAATATTTTCTTTTTAATAACATGGAATTGAGAGGTCAATAGCTCATTTTAGTATATTTTTGAATGCTTAGAGTTATTATTATATTTAATGGTAATTAGGGGTTCTTCATCTGGTTCTTCACATTGCTAAACATGTTTTTGAAGGATCATTCCTTCTCCCCTTTTGATAAGGGGTTTGCAAATTGTTTGAACTATAAGGAGTTTACATGTTTTTTAAGAACAGTCCATTAAATAATGATTAACTTTTAAAAAAGGACAAAACAGAACTGATTTCAAAAAGTTTTTGTTTAACAATAATGGTGTATTTTAGTAGAAATTTTACACTTGTTTTTTAACCAATCAAATATGTGTTTTCTCTAGCGTCCTAATGGCAACCCAGGTATTGTTTCAGATTTTTTTTTTAGGGGTTATCATGGAGTCAATTATAGTAAAGAAAATTACAGCTCAAACATAAAGTTTTATTTTACAAAAAATAAGTTTTAAATTATTACACTGTTAATATTGTTTATAGGTAGATATATGATAATATTTATTGTATAATATGTGCACTGTAATTTGTATGGGGTGGGGTAAAATTTGCCCATCTTACATTGTTATGGTAGGCAACAAAAGTTGAAAATTTGCCAATAGTATCCAGCCAGTTCATTCCTAGATTGTATGCATAATGTCAGAAAAACCTCTTCTATACATCTAAATCTAGGTACAACTTGTGTATTATACAAATTTTTTACATAAGACTCGAAGCTTCATCTAAAAATGTATAAATATACAATTAAAGGAAAGGATATAATGTTTTAATAATACAATACAATGCACATGGTTATCACCATGTCCAAACTAACTGATCTAGGGACTTCAATATTTGATAAAATATTTATAAATAGTGTAGAAATATATTTTTGAAGACACCATTTTAAAATTTTAACAAGTTTTGAAGTTACAAGGTGTCAAAGTTGAACTTGGATTTTTTAACAATTTACATTGTTGCCTTTATTTCATTACCATGTCTAAACTAATTGATCTAGAGACTTCAAAATTTGAGAAAATATTTATAGATAGTGTAGAAATATATTTTTAAAGACCACATTTTAAAATTTTAAAAAGTTTTGAAGTTACAAGGTGTCAAAGTTGAACTTGGATTTTTTTAATAATTTACATTGTTGCCTTTATTTCATCACCATGTCCAAACTATATAATTTAGGGACTTCAAAATTTAAGAAAATATTTATACATAGTGTAGAAATATATTTTTGAAGACCACATTTTAAAATTTTAACAAGTTTTGAAGTTAGAAGGTGTCAAAGTTGAACTTGGATTTTTTAACAATTTACATTGTTGCCTTTATTTCATTACCATGTCTAAACTAATTGATCTAGAGACATCAAAATTTGAGAAAATATTTACAGATAGTGTAGAAATATATTTTTGAAGACCACATTTTAAAATTTTAACAAGTTTTAAAGTTACAAGGTGTCAAAGTTGAACTTGGATTTTTTAACAATTTACATTGTTGCCTTTATTTCATTACCATGTCTAAACTAATTAATCTAGAGACATCAAAATTTGAGAAAATATTTACAGATAGTGTAGAAATATATTTTTGAAGACCACATTTTAAAATTTTAACAAGTTTTGAAGTTACAAGGTGTCAAAGTTGAACTTGGATTTTTTAACAATTTACACTGTTGCCTTTATTTCATAACCATATCGAAATTAATTGATGTAGAGACTTCAAAATTGGATAAAATATTTACAAAAAGTGTATAAATATAACTTTGAGAACCACATTTTGAAATTTCAACAAGTTTTGAAGTTACAAGGTGTCAAAGTTGAACTTGTTTTTTTTTAACAATTTACATTGTTGCCTTTATTTCATTACCATGTCCAAACTAATTAATCTAGAGACTTCAAAATTTAATAAAATATTTATAAATAGTGTAAAAATATATTTTTAAAAACCACATTTTAAAATTTTAAAAAGTTTTGAAGTTACAAGGTGTCAAAGTTGAACTTGGATTTTTTTAATAATTTACATTGTTGCCTTTATTTCATCACCATGTCCAAACTAATTGATTTAGAGACTTTAAAATTTAAGAAAATATTTATAGTGTAGAAATATAATTTTGAGGACCACATTTTTTAAAATTTTAACAAGTTTTGAAGTTACAAGGTGTCAAAGTTTAACTTGGATGTTTTAACAATTTACATTGTTGCCTTTATTTTATTATCATGTCTAAACTAATTGATCTTGAGACTTTAACATTTGAGAAAATATTTACAGATAGTGTAGAAATATATTTTTGAAGACAACATTTTAAAATTTTAACAAGTTTTGAAGTTACAAGGTGTCAAAGTTGAACTTGGATTTTTTAACAATTTACATTGTTGCCTTTATATCATCACCATTTCCAAACTAATTGATATATAGATTTCAGAATTTGGTAAAATATTCATAGATAGTGTAGAAATATATTTTTGAAGACCACATTTTAAAATTTTAACAAGTTTTGAAATTACAAGGTGTCAAAGTTTAACTTGGATGTTTTAACAATTTACATTGTTGCCTTTATTTCATTACCATGTCTAAACTAATTGATCTTGAGACTTCAAAATTTGAGAAAATATTTATAGATAGTGTAGAAATATAATTTTGAAGACCACATTTTAAAATTTTAACAAGTTTTGAAGTTACAAGGTGTCAAAGTTGAACTTGGATTTTTTAACAATTTACATTGTTGCCTTTATTTCATTACCATGTCTAAACTAATTGATCTAGAGACTTCAAAATTTGAGAAAATATTTATAGATAGTGTAGAAATATAATTTTGAAGACCACATTTTAAAATTTTAACAAGTTTTGAAGTTACAAGGTGTCAAAGTTTAACTTGGATGTTTTAACAATTTACATTGTTGCCTTTATTTCATTACCATGTCTAAACTAATTGATCTAGAGACTTCAAAATTTGAGAAAATATTTATAGATAGTGTAGAAATATAATTTTGAAGACCACATTTTAAAATTTTAAAAAGTTTTGAAGTTACAAGGTGTCAAAGTTGAACTTGGTTTTTTTTAATAATTTACATTGTTGCCTTTATTTCATCACCATGTCCAAACTATATAATTTAGGGACTTCAAAATTTAAGAAAATATTTATAGATAGTGTAGAAATATATTTTTGAAGACCACATTTTAAAATTTTAACAAGTTTTGAAGTTAGAAGGTGTCAAAGTTGAACTTAGTTTTTTTAACAATTTACATTGTTGCCTTTAATTAATCACCATGTCCAAACTAATTGATTTAGAGACTTTAAAATTTAAGAAAATATTTATAGATAGTGTAGAAATATAATTTTGAAGACCACATTTTAAAATTTTAACAAGTTTAGAAGTTACAAGGTGTCAAAGTTGAACTTGGATGTTTCAACAATTTACATTGTTGCCTTTATTTCATCACCATTTCCAAACTAATTGATCTATATATTTCAAAATTTGATGAAATATTTACAAAATGTGTAGAAATATATTTTTGAAGACCACATTTTAAAATTTTAACAAGTTTTCAAGTTACAAGGTATCAAATGTTGAACTTGGAATTTTTGCCATTGTAGTGCATTTTTAATAATACCAAAACTTTTTAATGAGTTGAGATTGATTTACTGTTTCAAATACTTTTTGTAGGTCTCAAAAAAGAGAACCTATATTGCCAATATTCCTTTTCCAATAATTCAAAACATATTGTAGTGCAGTCTCCTGAAAGCCTGATTGATTACTATTAAACATATTATTGTCTTCCAGATATTGAATTAACCAGAAGTCAGACTGTCTAAACATGCTATAATATGTGTCTGCTGCCCTTTTCATGACAAAATAACCTCTCTTTCTTTTATGTGTATTATATTTACACGACCTTAGAAGATTTTGAAGAATAAAACGAAATTTTCGTTTGTTACTAGATGCAAATAAGTACTCCATCCTAAAAGGTCAAAACTTAATTTAAAAAAAAAAATATTTAGTGAGGTTCTACTTTCTCTAAATATTTTACTACTGTACATAACATATTAATAGGATGTAAGTCCACGTAATCTTAGCCATTGGTGTTATTGAAATGTTTAGGTCGTCTGGAACTGTATTAGTTTTTATTGAGAAATTTATTATATTTATTTATCAATGGATTAGCAATATTTTAAAAACAGTACATTAATTTCATCTAGACGTCCTTTATTCAACGTATGAAGAACTTAATAAAAGCATTATAAATATGCAAGTTTTGCAGAAGGAATCCATTTTTTTTTACAGGAATCTCTTAGCAATGCTGAATGCACTTTTTCTCACAAACAACGCCGTGTAGAAACTGTTGGTTTTCACCCGACTGCAGACTTTCTTCTACATTCTACTTCTTACACCACACTTACACTCTGGGATTTGTTATCTGAACAAGAAGTATTTTCTAATTCAGATCCCTCAGAAGTCATTCAATCGGTCAGTTGGAAAAGAGATGGCACACTTTTGGCTACATCTGCCAAGGACAAGCAGGTAAGTTTTACAAAAATATATGTATAACAAACTGACATATTTTATAAAAAATGTAGTAGAAATGCTGTATTTTTATAGTTTTTCCTTCTGAAAAAGTGGTCTAACTCAAGTTGTAACTGTAAGTGATGTATCTTCTTGCTCAAATGCAGCATAAAATAAATTGCTTTCTCCTGTAAAATTAGGAAAAATGAGATAGGTCAAATTGTGAGATTTATGTCGATATTTGGGACATTCTTGTAAATTTGAAAATTATTGTTGCTAGGATATAAAATTTATATTATTATTTCTATTAAAGTTTAATTACAGAATTAAATACAACAAAAAACTCAAAGTCTTGGTCACAGAGTTTTTGTTATTGTATTTATTACATCTTGTAACATTTGAGCATGGATGTTCTTCTTTACTTAAATAATTGTAGAAGTTCAAAGTTATAATAAGTAGTTTAAAATAAAAACCCAATGTTTCACAATATTTTTAGTCAAATGACTAAAACAAAATTATTCTCAACAAATTAAGAAAATATTCTTATGGTAGGATTCTGGGAAATATTCTATGAGCTACAGAATCTGTAAGATACAGTAATGTAATGTGTTACAGATTTTGGCTTATAGATCGACCCATTAGTATTTTTTTTCTTCTTTATTTATTTAGGTTCGCATCTTGGATCCAAGGGTTGAAAATTCTTGCTTGAAATCGACGAATTCCCACCCGGGAATAAAAGATTCCAAAGTAGTATGGCTTGGTGAACAAAATAAAATCTTGACCACCGGGTTCGACGCTCAAAGACTGAGACAAGTTATTATTAGAGATTTACGAAATTTCGGTGAAACTGAAAAAACATTAGAGCTCGATTGTTCGACTGGTATACTGATTCCTCTTTACGACGCTGATACTGGAATGTTATTTTTAGCTGGTAAAGGTAAGTAAATGAGTTAAACCGAATTTTTTTTTAGTAAATTCGATTAAGGGCCAGTTTTTTCACCTCTAAATAAAGTTGAAAATAACTACTTGCTGATTAAACTATAGGGTGATTGCTTGTTAATCTGTCAAGTAAAGCTACATGTACATTTACTCAGAGGCGAAAAGATCGATCCTAAATACTTTTATTATTTACAGGAGATACTACAATTATGTACATGGAAGTAACAGATAAAGATCCGTACCTTATTGAAGGTATCAGACATTCAGGAGAACAAACGAAAGGTGTTTGCTTAGTACCCAAACGCGCTTTAAATATTATGCAAGGAGAAGTAAACCGGATTTTACAGCTCACTAGTTCTTCAATTATTCCAATCACTTATCAAGTACCCAGAAAGACTTACAGGTAAGTTAATTATATAAAAAAAATTATTTAGTACACTGTGTATATATTTTGTAGGAATATAATTTTGAAAACTACATTTTGAAATTTCAATAAGTTTTGAAGTTACAAGGTGTCAAAGTTGAACTTGGATTTTACATTGTTGCCTTTATTTCATCACCATGTCCAAACTTCAAAATTTGAGAAAGTTTTTATAGATAGTGTAGAAATATATTTTTGAAGACCGCATTTTAAAATTTTAACAAGTTTTAAAGTTACAAGGTGTCAAAGTGTAACTTGGATGTTTTAACAATTTACATTGTTACCTTTATTTCATCACCATGTCCAAACTAATTGATTTAGAGACTTCAAAATTTGAGAAAATATTTATAGATAGTGTAGAAATATATTTTTGGAGACCACATTTTAAAATTTTAACAAGTTTTGAAGTTACAAGGTGTCAAAGTTGAATTTTGATTTTTTGTTTTTTTATATATATATAGAGACTTCCATGCTGATATTTATCCTGAAACTCCAGGATATAAGACTGATTTAGCTTCTTCCGATTGGATTCAAGGAAAGAACATTCCATTACAGAAAATATCTTTGGATCCTTCAAAACGAGAAAACGGCGAAGAACCGATAGTGGTAAGTAGATTAATTCTTTTAAGAAAACAAATCTGTTCTTTATAACCGCTGTGAACTTAGCGATTAATTTTCCTAAAATTGCCGAACTGTCAGTGGCGTTTTGTTTAAGAATTGTCTTACTTATATGTATTATGATTGTTCCTCAAAATAAAGATTATTATTATTTATATTATTATTAATAATACTATTTGTTCATAACCTCTAAAAAACAAATAGTGAATATCGTCTTGTTAAATTTCAAATAATGTACTTCTAATATTTTACATTTTAGATACACAGAGGTTCTTTGCAACAGATGCGGGAAGAATTTAACGCTAAAAAGTTAAATTTCAAGCCCGAATTGAAACCGAAAATATCCCCGACCAAAAAACCCGAGCATCATCCAGTAAAAGGCATCATCAGCAACTTCGAAAAAGAAAAAGAAAAAGAAAAGGACAACAAGCAAATCGAAGAGGAAAAAAACACCATCAACGCCGTACACGCGGATAAAGACGTTGATTCACAGGAAAAGGTAAATTGCCCTTCTATAATTCCCCCTAAACCTTTACCGAGGACGTCCAGAACTAGTTCGATGTGCGATTCTCAATCCGTCGATGATGGTAATAACGCGCCCAAGCCCGTGGCTAGACCTCGCACTAACAGTTTAGCTCCCATTGTTACTTCTGTTAGTCCCGTCGCACCCGCCACTGGAGGATACAAGGTTAATTTAATAGAGTTTTGGTGTGAAAAGTTTTTTCGCTTTCTTTTATTTTTTTTTGTGGCGATTACTATTTTTGTTTTGTAGTATATTTTTTGATGTTGTTTGAATTCTATAATGAAAAAATTTCTTATCTCTCGTTTTCTTTTTTTTTACTTTATGCACAAAATAACTCTTTTTTTTTTTGTGGTTTGTTTTACAGTTATTATGTGTAAATAAAATTGGTAAATTAAATATTAATTTCTACATATAATAAGTTACCATGACAACAGTGTCGTAGGCAAAATATTTTAGGGTTACATTTTTGGTGCCCAACGTGGGGCCATGTACTTGAATATTACTTTTAAATCTGTTTGATGACATTTATAATTTAGTAATAATTTATAAATTGTTGATCAATTGAGAAAATTTAATCATATAGGAACATAAGTTTGAAGTTTCGGTTGGTTACATTTTTGACATCATTAAAAATAGAGGAATGTTCAAATTGGTAAACGTATTATTAATTTCTACACAATATAAGTTATTATAACAACAATGTCAGATACTAAGCAGTCGTAAATCAAATATTTTAGGGTTACATTTTTGGCGCCCAACGTGGGGCCATGTACTTTAATATTAATTTTAAATCTGTTTGATGACATTTATAATTTAGTAATAATTTATAAATTGTTGATCAATTGAGAAAATTTAATCATATAGGAACATAAGTTTGAAGTTTCGGTTGGTTACATTTTTGACATCATTAAAAATAGAGGAATGTTCAAATTGGTAAACGTATTATTAATTTCTACACAATATAAGTTATTATAACAACAATGTCAGATACTAAGCAGTCGTAAATCAAATATTTTAGGGTTACATTTTTGGCGCCCAACGTAGGGCCGCTTCAATATTAATTTTAAATTTCTTTGATGACATATTTGTAGTCTAGTTTCTTTAATAATAATTTATAAATTGTTGATAAATTGGGAAAATTCAATTATATAGGAACATAAGTTTGGAGTTTCGGTAGTTTACATTTTTGACATCGTTAAAAATAGAGGGATAGTCAAATTAGTGAACGTATTATTAATTTCTACACAAAATAAGTTATTATAACAATGTGAGATACCATGCGGTCGTATAGCAAAAGTAAAAGTTGGAAAGGCTTTTGGTAGGTACAGAGGTGGTAAACGTCAAACCACGTCGAACGGCTTCGAGAATTTCGCAGTAATGTTTACCTGCCAGTGTCGTTTTATAGAATAAGTAATTTTAAATTATTATCGGCGGAACCGGACAATCGCATGTATTTATGGACTATAAATAATTATTAAACATGTATTATAATATTCAAATCATAATTTTACAAAATTTCAACAGCTATTCACAATTTATTAAACTAATTACTCGAAATTGTTATTAACATCTATAAAATAATTTTGTACGCCAATGTATCGCGTCCACTTCGGTGAGATCCGCTGCAAACTTGTCAATTTATGTGTATAAAGTGGGAGAACTGGCAAAAGCCTTTCTAACTTTTACTTCTATTCTACATAAAATATTTTAGGGTTACATTTTTGGCGCCCAACGTGGGGCATTTTATTTGAATATTTTTTTTTGTGTCATCGGCATCAACTGATACGCTTATTAGCCTCGTGTTCTGTGTAGGTTTTTATTAATTTTAAATTTGTTTGATGATATATTTATAGTGTAGTTTCTTTAATAATAATTTATAAATCGTTGATCAATTGGGAAAATTCAATTAAATAGGAACATAAGTTTGAAGTTAAAACGTTAAAAATAGAGGGATGTTTAAATTGGCAAACGTATTATTAATTCTACACACAATAAGTTACCATGACGACAATGTCAGATGCCATGCGGTTGTATAGCAGAGGTAGAAGTTGGAAAGGCTTTTGCCAGTTCTCCCACTTTATATATAAATTGACAGGTTTGCGGCGGATCTAATCGAAGTGGACGCGATACATTGGCGTACAAAATTATTTTATAGATGTTAATAACAATTTTGAGTAAACAGTTTAATAAATTGTTAATAGTTGTTGAAATTTTGTAAAATTATGATTTAAATATTATAATACATGTTTAATAATTATTTACAGTCCATAAATACTTGCGATTGTCCGGTTCTGCCAGTATCAATTTAAAATTACTTATTGTATGAAACGATACTGACAGGTAAACATTACTGCGAAATTCTCGAAACCGTCCGACGTGGTTTGACGTTTACCCCCTCTCTACTTACCAAAAGCCTTTCCAACTTCTATTTGTGCTATAGACAAAATTTTCAGGATTACATTTTTGGCGCCCAACGTGGGGCCGTTTACTTTAATAATAATTTTAAATTTGTTTAATGACATATTTGTAGTGTAGTTTCTTTAATAATAATTTATAAATTGTTGACCATTTGGGAAAATTCAATTATATAGGAATATAAGTTTGAAGTTTCGGTAGGTTACATTTTTGGCAACGTTAAAAATAGAGGGATGTTCAAATTTACATCTTCAGGCAACAAATCTGAAATAATTGGATATTTACCAACTTTCCTGAATAGATCTATTTTTTAATTCACTGTAGTGAGTTATTCCTCCAATTGATGTTACAGCAATCAATCCTTAAAAAGTATTCTTGTTTTTATAAAAACCAAGTGGTGCTTTTACTATCTAACATGATGATTCTACAATTTTTTTTTTATCAAGAGGAGAAAAAACTTAACAAAACACTGTTTAAACAATAAACAAGACAAACTAAACTAAATACAAACTAATCACATTTAAACTTTTCGATAGCATTGACATATTCGTTGTCAAGGTTTCTTTGCTTTGTTTATAAAAGAAAAATACATTACACTATCACGGTTTATGACAACTTTGATTAATAATTTAGATTGGTACTACTGAACTTCAAGATAAAACTGGATGAAAATTAGAACCCGTTTTATAAGTTTCCTTGCATGTTTGTGTTTATTATTCCAGACAGGCATCACTTGTTTTTCGCTTCTGCACCAAATATAGAAATAGAATATGTCCAACACATTTATCCGAACTTCTGTTTGTTCTACTTTTATGTTTTAAGCAAATAAAGATCGATTTTTAATTGTTTTAAGCCTATAGGGATAATTTCGATTTCAATCACTATCTTATGTGTAACTTTTAATGAATGTGGATCACAAATTACGTCATGACTGATATAGTTTCGTCATATTGGTGGTGAAAAGAGTTAAGCCACATTTTTAGGCAAATAATAAAATAATACAACTCTGAAAAATATAATGGTGAAAAGAGATGAGCGATTTTGTAATTATAACCTTAAAATCCCACAAACTAAAAGAAGCTAGGTGAAAATACATATATCTCTTTCAATGGTAAAGCATTTTTAAGCGATATACATTTCTTTTTCTTTCGTTTTTAAATCAGTCTTAAAATGAACGACCTGTTTTCGTTTGTACCAAATTTTATCATATTTTTATAACAATAAATATTTCCTTATGTTTGAAGTTACTTTAGGCGTTGCTTGGGGTTCTAAAACGGTTGTGACGATCGGCTGGCTAGCAATTTTTGCTCTTTTCAACAAAAATGCCTAAATTAATTATCAATTTTCGTCCAAAAGGAATCGATTACAAAAATATGAGCCAATCCGTAATAGAATACAAATTTTTTAAGTTACACACCCAATTAAAACGAAAATGATTTAAGATTAAGAGGTAACAAATTCTTTATACAGTTTTGATTGAACTCGGAACTATCCTAGTTATCGGGCATTTTACTGGTTTTAAAACAGCCAGATCTGCCAACCCTAATTTTTATCTTGCAGCCAAGACTAGGCCCGAAACCGTTTACTCCTCCAAACCTCAACGATACCGAAAACACTTTTTCGAAAGTGTTTTCGGTACCTGCGGTTCCGGGACAAACATCGCACGGGGCAAACCCATCCCCACCGCGGACCGAAGAAAAAGAACCAGAAAAAGTGGAGAAGGAGAATCAAAAATCGCCGACAGATGAAATTAAGGTCGATTTAACAAATAACAAATCGGGATCGAGCGGCGAAGAAGAGGCAAGCAGCGACTCTGGGTACGTTCCGAGAACGCCCAGCACTGCGGAGAGACGAAAATTGTTTGAAAGTCGATCCGATTCTAAGGAGAACGAGCCCGATGAAGGTCTCGATTCGATTGACTTCGAAAGGGGAGGTCAGAGGGCTAGTATTGCAGAAAGGAGGAAGATTTATGAAAACAGGTATGTATTTAAAATATTCTAAAAATTTGTCATTTTTAAAAATGGGTATAGTTCAAAATATGTATAGACTTAACAACAATTGCAATTTTGAGACGTAGAGTGTAGAGATGGGAACATTTGTGGGTTAGTAATAGGAAAAAAACAGTTAGAGACGCTGATAAGATTTAATACATACAATAAAGGGACCTGAGACACATATTTTGTGATGCTCCCAAAATAGGAAGTGGTTGTTGAACTTACAAACTAAGACTTATTACAAAAAAAAATGAAACAATTTTGACTTTGATATGTGTTTGAGCTCAATTTATAGGGCGTGGGTTAGGTTTTTAAATAACTCTAATAGCTCTAATTCTACCTGACCCATTCGGGATGCAGTTTCGAATGTCCAAAGTAAGGAGTACCTACACTCCAAATACTCAGTATAAGGGAAAAAATATATTTGGTTTTGAATAGTTTTATTTATATAGTCAGAATCAAATGGATATTGAAAATTTCTCCCACAATCTTCAGATTTGAATCCAATTTGTTAATTTTTATGGTGATTTCATCTATACTATGATAGAGTGACATAATTTTTTCTGAATAAACATTATTATTAGTAGATTCAGTATATTATGGACTACACGTGTGCTAAATAAAAACGTTTCAAATCTCCACATAACTCAAATAAAGAAATATTTTTTCTAGATCGATTTCCGTACAAGATCAAGGTTTGGATAAAAAAGAAAATTCTCCGGTAATGCTCAGAAGAAAAGACTCGTTTAAAAACAAGAAAAACGCCGAAGACGTTCTCAAAGACGATAATAACAGAAAAAGTATGCCTATAGCGAAACAACAAAGTTTAGATCCCGTGGGCGCTCGTAAATCCGAAGTATCCATGCCGACGCCGAAGAGAACTTCTACAGTGTTTGGTATGTAAAATAATAATAACAAACGATATTTTTTTAATGTCTGAAAAGTTAACTATAATATTTTGCAATATTTAAAGGTAACGCACAAGTTTTGGCTGTCTCATGAACAGTTTTTAGCAAACCGGTTTCGCTCGGAGTGGAGAAGGTATGATCCGTTTAGTATTAAATTTACAGTATTCAAAACTAAAATATTCATTTGATTTGAATGTTCAAAATAACGTTTCTTGTCTCCAACTCAAATCGAACAATGGAGATAAAGAAAAGCTTTTATTTACAAACAAATTTTTAGAATATTATAAAAAATGTGGAATAATCTAATGTACTAACCTTGTATAATAATGCAATAATGTTTAACTTGTACTAATAATTAATTAAATAAAAAATTCAAATCGAACCGGCGCCCATAAACATATTGTTTTGAATATTGCAAATATCGTACCAAACGGATCACGCCTTCTCCATTCCGAGCGAAACTGGTTTGCCAAATGTTTCATTATGCAATCAAAACGTTGATTTGAGGTAATAATGGCCAGTTACAAATTAATGTCACCGGAATAGCTGTACAACATTTAATTACATAATTAAAAATATGTTGATACCTTTTTTTTTGATAGGTCGAGTGTCGAAATTTCGACATCTAAAAGGTACTCCGCTACACAAATCATTCCACATTGAAAACATCAGAAATTTAAGCAGGCAAATACCGGGCGAATGCGATGGTTTCCATGGTAAGTCGCATGAATTATATTTTTCTATCTTGACTTACGTTCTTAACGAAAAAAATCTTTCTAGCAAATTTCGAACGAGTAGCGGTACCTTTGAGTGGTCCAGGCGGTAAAATCGCCATATTCGAACTGAATAAAACCGGTAGATTGCCGGACGGCGTCATCCCGGCTTTGGTTCACGGAAACAGCGTTATGGACTTCACTTGGGATCCGTTCGATAGTCGACGACTTGCCGTAGCTTGCGATGACGGCGTAGTGAAACTGTGGAGAATACCCGAAGGTGGTCTTTCGGAACAAACGAACAAAGTCGAGGCCGAGTTCATCGCGCATTCCGATAAAATTTATTTTGTTAAATTTCATCCGACTGCCAAAGATGTTTTGGCTACAGGTAATGAAATTTCAAGTATACGAACTCGGAACATTTTAAAACTAGTTTTCTTTTATTGATTTAATTATTTGATTTGACATATTTCATTGATTAACTGACTAATTTATTTGATTTCATTAGATTAATTGATTTAATTATTTGATTTGACTTTTTAATTAGATTAATTGATTTGATGTATTTCATTGATTAATTAATTGACTAATTGATTGAGTAACTAACTGATTGATCAACTAACCAATTGACTAACTAACTAATTATTTGATTTGACTATTTGATTAGAATATTTGATTTGAAGTATTTCATTGACTAATTGATTAACTGACTAATTGGTTGAATAACTAACTGATTGACTGACTAATTGATTAACAAATTATCTGACTTTATTGATTTGATTATTCGATTTGATGTATTTCATTGACTAATTGATTAACTGACTAATTAGTTGAGTAACTAACTGATTAACTAATTATTTAACTAATTAATTGATTTGATGTATTTCATTGACTAATTGATTAACTGACTAATTAATTTGACTAATTGGTTAAGCAACTAACTGATTGACTAACTAACTGATTAAATAATGATTTGATTATTTGTTTATTTAACACGTTAACTGCCAGGCAACTTATGGAAGAAATTTGTACCGGGTCTCGTAGGCCATGCAATTTTTTTTTTTACAAAATGGTTTATTAGATTTTTTCATTGTTTAAGTTGACCTATGTACTTATAAACAAGCAAAAATAAACATTTTTTCTATAACCTTTATTTTTATTTGACTATTTGTGTTGTTTATTGGATTTGATGTATTTCATTGACTAATTGATTAATTTGTTGAGTAACAAACTAATTGATTGACTAATTAATTATTTGATTTTATTGAGTTGTCTGTCCACATCTACAGCCCTTTTCGATAACAAAATCTATTTTTCAATTTTGTATTCCCAGGTTCTTACGACATGACAATAAAAATATGGGATTTGGCAACGCTGACCGAAAAAATTACTCTAAAAGGCAACACCGATCCGATATTCAGTTTCGCGTGGTCGCCTTGCGGATCGTATTGCGCTTGCGTCAGTAAAGACAGCAAAATTCGCATTTACAAGCCCCGTTCTAGCGAGAATCCCATCCGGGAAGGAAAAGGACCCGAGGGGAATCGCGGTGCCAGGATCACTTGGGCGCTGGATGGGCATTTTATCGTCGTTACGGGATTCGATAAGGTGTCCGAGAGGCAGATATCGGCGTATAGGGCGGATAATTTGGATAGTCCGGTTAATACTGTCGGTTTGGATGTTTCGCCCGCCATTTTGATACCGTATTATGATGAAGATAGCTCTACGCTGTTTGTTACTGGAAAAGTAAGTGTTAAACGATTTTAACTACGTTTCTAATACTATGTTTTTGTTATTAACTAATAGGTAGTTTGTATTAGTTTTAGGTAGTATTAAAGTTGCTAAAACTTAAAAGAAATATAATACAAAAATTTTAAAATACAGCTGAAAGAGAAATGCTTTAAAATATAATTTTCAAGAGTATTTATTAAAAAAAAGAAAAATGACAAACAGGAACACATGAGCATAGTCGGAACATCTGGGGGAATATGTGTTATTTACGCTTGGAGAAGAAATTTCTTCAAATAAAAGTTACTTGTAATGTTATTTTCTATAATTTTTGTTCTATACATAATTTTCCTAAAATGGTCCGTATTCGAGAAATTTGACAAAAAGTACAAAATTCGAATTTTTAAGAAAATTGTTCAAATAAATGTTCAACTATTGGATAATATTTGCAGTTTTCTTCAATTTGAAACGAGAAGTGCATAACATATCGTTACTAAATGCTAAACAAATGTAGACAATCATTCAAAGGATTTTTAATGCCAGAACAATGGAATTTTTGCTCTTAGAGTCGGGATGAAACATTTTGACGAACCCTGCTTGCTTAATTTCTGATAAAATTATGACAGATTTGGTATATTTTTATAATCTAATATTCTATACACGAAAAAAACAATTTTTATTGTTTATTTCAGGGCGATTCGACAATCTATGCCTTCGAAATAACGGAAGAGCATCCTTACATCTGCCCGTTAAGCCATCATCGATGTAATACTCTTCATCAAGGTTTATCCTTCCTCCCTAAGAACGTCTGTGATGTCGCCAATGTCGAGTTCGCCAAATCTTATAGGCTCACCAACAACTCTATTGAGCCATTATCTTTTACTGTACCTAGGATAAAGGTGAGCATTTTGTTCTGTATTTTTATATATACATAATAAAAATTAATAAAAGTAAATAAAAAATAAATAAAAATGTATAAAAATAAATAAAAATGAATAAAAATGAATAAAAATAATTAAAAATTAGTAAAAATAAATAAAAATGAATGAAAATCAATAAAACTAATAAAAATTAATAAAAAAGGAAGTGTTGTATTTTTTTATATTAATAACATGACTACATGCGAGCAAAGCCGCTTGCAACAGCTAGTGCTTAATAAAAATGTTTCTTATTGATTATTTTCTACAGAAAATGTTCCAGTAATTGTATCATTGTTTTTTTTTGTCAAAATATTTTTTTTTCCTTATATATCTACAGCCGAATTTTTTTTTTTTTTTTTTAATGACTAAGAAATCATTTTTGTTTCTAGACGGATCTTTTCCAAGACGATCTCTTTCCGCCGACTAGGGTAACGTGGAGCCCGATCATGACCAGTACAGAATGGTTTAGTGGTAAAGAAAAGGCTGCCCCTAAAATAAGTTTAAAGCCCGACGGTATGGAACTATGTAAGTGTAACTTTCCAAATTGTATTTCTGCTAAAATTATAGTTAATAATTTAGGTTTTTTAAATGTTTATCAAAAAAATGTCATTCAAATTCTAGACTAAAAATGTTAGACTTGATATTTTCACAAATTGAAAACTTAATTGTGTCTAAAGCTTTAGATCCTCTTTTTCCCTCAAGCATACATCACGAGCCTTTAGAAATTAATATAATAACCCATGATTCCCATTTAAATTACATTGCGGAAGAGTGGTATTTTGATTTTCGAAACGCAGATTTTTTCAGCATTAACATCTTTTTTGCAGACGTTGAATGGGATGAAATGTCTTTGTTAGGTGCTAATGAAGCAACTGAATTTCTTTATACAGCACTCAATTTATTTGTACCAGTGAAAAAATATTCATTATTCAATTTTCCTTGTTGGTTTAATGTTGAACTTAAGAAATTTGTAGCTGACAAAAAAAAAGAGTTCATAAGAAATACAAGCTATTCAATCAACACCACGATTACATTCTATTTAATGATTTATGTAGGGGTGCAAGGAACTATCTGAAGGATGTTTCAAAGAATATAACAGAAAGATGGAAAATAATATTAACACGAATCCTAATTATTTTTGGAGTTACATAAATAACAAATGAAAAGCCTATGATCTTCCAAAAATCATGACCTGTAATAATTTTGAGAGCTTCGATGATATTGTCAGCATTGTGCATGAATGTTCTTTTCATCAGTTTTTTCTACTGACAATGTACAAAATTTACCTTCAAATAATTTTAAGAATACTGTGAATATATCAACCTATCAAATTAATGTGATCGACATTATGAAAAGAATTAACAGTCTACCATCGAATCCCATGGTTCAGATGGGATTCCAACTTATTTAAAAAAAAATGCATTTATACTTTTACTAATCCTCTAAAAATCGTTTTAACATATCTCTTGAATCAGGAATCTTTCCAAATTTTTGGAAACATAGTTTTTTGAAATTTATAAATTTATAAATTGGGTGCAAAAGAGAAAATTGAAAACTACCGACCTGTTTGTATCCAGTATCCGATATTCCTAAAGCATTCGATTATTTCATGAGTAAGTTCTTATCTTGGGAATGTAAAAACATCATCATTAATGAACAGCATGGTTTCTGTCATGGTCCGTCAACAGCGACTGATCTCTTGCTTTACAACACTTACATAATTAATGCTTTAGAAAACAAGTTACAAGTTGACTCGATCTCTACAGACTTCTCAAAGGCCTTTGATCGAGTAAACCACAAACTTCTTAATAACAAACTAAAAAATATTGGAATATCGAGTGTCATGCTGAGTTATTTAGCAGCGTGAAAATTGCAGGTATTGTACTATGGAAACATTAATATTGAATTGTCAAACTAAAGAAAAAGTCAAGATTTCCTAACAGTTAAGAAATATTCATTTTCTTACTGTCAATATTTCCTAACAGTTAGGAAATATTGACTTTTTCTTTAAGAAATTTTGTTTGGAATGTCAAAATTTCTTATTGATTTGCAGAAAACATTTTTATTATGCATCATGAGATTACAGTTCCTTTAGGTGTACCTCAAGGTTCTCATTGTGGACCTATTCTATTTAATCTGTTTATTAACGATATTTGTGATACATTAAAATTTAGCCAATACCTACTTTTTGCAGATGATTTTGAGTTATTCACATTCTGATATAATTGAATTGCAAACAGACGTTGACTCCCTGAATATATGGTGCAAACTAAACCAAATGGTGCTTTTGTATATCTTTTGGCAAAATTTTGTCACCCATCATACATGAATATCAAATTAACAATCATATTGTATCAAGAGTTGATACCATTAAAGATCTAGGTGTCATAAATTGTCTTTTCAGGCACATATAAATATGATAACAGTAAAGTCTTCAAAACTATTAGGTTTGATTTCTAGGTCTTCCACGGATTTTTCTGCTTATACGTTCAAGACGATGTATTGTTCTCTAATAAGATCATAATTAGAATACTGTTCCATTATTTGGAACCCATATTATAATACTCATAAGCATCAAATTGAGACTATTCAGAATAAATTCTTGAGAATATGCGCCTATAAAATGGGTTATATAAGAGGAGATTACTCATATGCTTCAGTTAATTCTCAATTAAACTTAAAATCACTTGACTTTAGGAGAACAGTTTCTGATAAATAATTTTTATAAATAAATTGTTAACAGGGAATATTGATTGTCCTCAAGCAGTAGGTCTTATTAATTTTAATACCTTTAGTAGGACTAGACAATTCGACTTATTTAATATACCACTACATACCACTAATTATGCTTTTAATTCACCAGTAAGTCGAATGTTACGTACATGTAATAAGTTGAAATGTAAAGTTTGTGATATTTTTGGAACTATTAATGCTCTAAGGACATATTTAAATAATATGGAAATCTAACATTTTATTTCTCCATTTTCTAACTGTTATTTGATTGTTATTTGATGCCGTTATATTTTATATTTTGGATTGTATTTTTAACCGACTTCAAAAAAGGAGGTGGTTCTCAATTCGTCGGTATATATATATTTTTTTATGTATGTTCAGCGATCATTCTTTAACACGGTGTCCGATTTCTATGATTCTTTTTTTGTTAGAAAGGGGGTACCTCTGGGGAAGTTCCGTATACAAGTGGTCAGGATCTGATGATATATGAGAAAATCAAAAATCTCAATTTTTAGGGGCATCTTCACGATTTTAAAGTCGGTTTAATAATTAAAAAATTATTATATATTACCTATATTAGTATTAGTTTAGTATTTAGTTCAGATTTTATTATGCTGCTATTATTCTACTTAATATTTTATTCTTTTAAATGGGGTTATCTGTGAATAAATAAATAAGTAATTGTGAGATTTTGTTCAAATATTTAGTTATTTAGCAAAGCATAGAGATTTATTTCACCCATGTTTGCTTAGAGTTGGATTTGGCCCACGACGATTGCTGAAAGGTCAAAAAGTACCTGTATTCTGGAAGTGATGTCTTTCTACTTTTCTTTAAAGAAAAGTTATGATATGACACAAAAAATTAACAGTTCCTTTATCTGTTTTGTTAAATTTATAAGTGAGAATGTTCTTTTTCATTTCCATCGTAGACCAGGGGCCCATTTCATAAAACTACTTTGCATTTTCCAAATTTATGAGTTTTAAATACTTGTGTTTCATAAAATAATGTCTTTGTCTCTGCAGATTATTAATTTTTCGTTCTCATTTTTAAATTGCTTCTCAAATTTTGCTTTTTAAATCATAAAGTTTCTCTTTTATATGCAAAATGCATAGTAAAAAGTTGCAAAGTAGTTTTATGAAATAGGCCCCTACATTCGATTCAATTTTTATTGATATAATTTACGCATTTTCATTTGTAGTGTCAGAGTCACAAAGTCAATCAAATGGCGCAAGTGAGAGAACGATAAACAAATCGGCATCCAGTCCTTTTATTGGTCTCAGTCACGGAAAAGTTGGTTGGGATGTAGATTCAAGCGACGTTAAAAATAAACAAGATGAGGTAAATAATAATATTAAAATAGTATATTACATAACAGTTGTGAAAAGTGTAACATTTCGCATGTGTTTAAGGAAACTAAACGAGTGCGAAAAATGTACTTTACACCATTTTTCTTGCGAGCACATTAAAAATCCTTAAAAAACGTATTTTTTAAATAAAGTCAATTAAATAATATCACACATGTACCGAAAAGTATATCAGAACATGTGTTCAAAATATATTTTCTTTCGAAAAGTATCTTTATAGAAAATGTTTATTTTACAATTTTAAAAAATTAAAAAAAAAATTTTATTGCCTTTCATTTTATACATAAAAATTTGGATTGACAATTATAATGATAATTTTGACGTAAATGTCAAAGGTCATAGTACGATATTTTTGTTACTTTTCAATACATATACACTTGTGATATGAGTTACTTTATTAACTACAAATGAAAGTACAAACTATTATTTTCATATGTGGTCTTAGGAAAAAGATATTTTTTTATGTTACTCTATTTCTCTATATTATGTTTGTCCTGTCCCCAATACTACATCGAGAAAATTAAACTGTTATATTTTCTGATTAGATAAAGAGGTCAGTGAGTAATAAACTTCAAGTCAATCTGACGTTAGAACAAGATACCATGGAAGGAGTCGACGAGAAAGAATGGGCGGAATAAAACCCTTACAACTTAGAAGAATATAGGTACATACATCATAATTTAATGCCATGTCGCAAACTAATGAATATTACTTACAGGACGCGCTTTTTTTGTATACATATTGTAACTATTGATTATTTTTTTATGTTTATACGATATAGTTTTGCTTAATAGTTCATTCTAGATAGGTCAAATTTTTAGAAACGGTCAGTATTGTACAGTCGTTTGTTATTTTTGAGTGGAAATATACACATCACAAATGTAATAATAGTATATGTGGAGACGTTTTAAAATAACCCGTGGGATTTTTATTTTGAAACTTTTTATAGAACATTTTTTATATAAAACTAATGGGACGTTTTAATATGAAATTTTGTTGTGATATTATAAAAATAATAATAACAAAGATATTTTTGACGGACCTTACGTGGTTCATTCCTAGTAAAGTTGTGATAGATTTGCCATAACTTCTCGATTATACAGTGTGTCCATTTAAGTTTGCAGCATGTGGGAAACTTTTTTATTTTTATATTTACAAAAAAAAGTTATGCATGGTCTGAAACCTAAAATGCAATCATAGGATATCAAATTTTTACAATGGTATACGAGGTATGTCAAATAATATGAATTTTGCTGGATCATTTTTGACAAATCTCGTATATGACATAAAATTTGATATATGATGGTTTTAGATAATATTAGACGTTTTCTTCCTAATAATATTAAAAAAAAAATTCATATGTAATTAACTCACTTAGACAGTTGATGAGGGCATACGGAAAGCTTTTTTTTTACTAATTTTAGGGAAAAAAGAGTTATTCGTCATAAAAAGTCTAAAATATAAAATACAATTATCAAAAATATCAAATTGTATCAGTTCTATACGAGATTTGTCAAAAATGCTTTATGAAAAATCATATTATTTGACATTGCTCGTATACTATTGTAAAAATTTGATATGTAATTGTAGCATTTTAGGTTTCAAACCACGTAGAATTTTTTACGAAGTATACCTTTTTTTTAAAAAAGTTAATAATGCAAGTTTCCCAATTGCTGCGAACTTAAGTACACACTGTATAATGAATTCCTCTTCGCTCAAAAATAACAACAATTGTATACATTTTATATTTAAAAGAATAATATAACAATTTATATCGGAAAAATCTACTTTATTGCAATTTTAAAACCTGACTTACAAATTAAGAATAAATCAATCGAATGTGAATTAAATGGTGAGCGTCACTATTATTTTTTAATTAATCCTTGCTTCGTGTATTCTCTTTAAGAAAAAGCAATATATCAAAATATAGTTAAGGTCTAACTAAATTTATATTCTCTCAATTTCTTTATTCTATTTTCAGTTGTTAACTGAATTAATTTCTGTGACATTTGCATTGTATTTATTTGGAAGAAATTTAACTCTAATACGTGGTTTACACTGGTTGATTTTCTAGACGCACCATTAAAATCGCTCGTGTGAAATAGGTGTTAGACAACTAAAATTGATAGCGACAGAATAGACTGCTTTTGACTTGCATTTTGTGTTAACAGGCCGACTAAAATCACTGAGAAAATACTTATTATCCCTCAAATACGTGAAAATGTGAAATACGTTTGTGGTTTTACTTATTTATTATTATAAGTGGTTTTGCATCGTTGTTATTCGTATTAACAATGCAACCAAAAATAAATTATTATTGGAGGTAATTTAAAAAATGTCATCTTAGTTTAAGGTCGTTATCAGATTCCAAAACAACACTGACAAAGAATTACTTACTTTCATAAATAAATGAAATGTCCGTGCTTCTAAAAAAAAAAGGATTAGCTACCGCTTTAAATAAAGCTGCAAATATAGGGGAAAGAAGCGACAATAAACAAATTAAATGTTTCAAACGTTTTTAATTTCCTTGCAAAGTGTTTTTATAATATACAAGTCACTCATACACTATTCTCTACTTTTACATATACACAACACACAAGATCACATAGTCTGGTCCTCTTCAATCGTCAGACATGGTCCTGATTGTCCTGCAACCAAAGAGCTTATGCATTGATATGTAGACAAACCAGTAAACATTTTGATTTCTTCTTTTACTGTTAAAATTCCAAGATCTCGATGAAAATCTACATATTTAAGGAGCGTTCATTATGTTGCGCAATACTTTGTTCTGAAAGGTTTTGAGTTCCTGACCAAAAACAAATAGTAGAAAGTTTATATTTTCGTCCCAATTCAGTTCTTTTCTTCTTAAAATGTACTTTCCATCGCAACTTGCTTGCTTTGCATTCATGAGGTACAGTCTTTCCGTTGATATTTAGAGGGAAAGGTTCTGCTAGTTTACATGAATAGATTTAAGTTAATTGAGCCTTATCCTCCATTGATTGATCCATCTAACTAGCAGTTTGGAGTTTTTTTACTGATCTTTCTTGGTCCTGATCAACTGTAAGAGCAGAATCATCAGCAAATGTAGCGCTACATTCATATCTCCCAAAGTTGTCAAGTCATTAGTATAGAGTAAGTATAGTATAGGTCCAAGAATACCTCCTTGAGGCACTCCAACTTCTATTTCTATTAAATTAGAATATTCGTATTCCTGCTGGATTCTGAAAAGCCTGTCTGAGATATTAGTCGAGGCAATGAAGCACTAAAAAGGCCAAAAGTTCGGAATTTTTTAGACTAATTTTGGATAAAATGTCCCGATTTTTTGTCTTATGTAAACTGGAAATTGCATTGCTACAGCCAAAAATGCATTTACAAGGTCGCTGATCACGATTATGATGTTCAAATTAATCCACAGTCGACCTGGAGCTCAGGAACACTGATGAACATTATCTCCATGGGATTCTCCCGAAATTCACGCAGGGAAGGAGAGAAATTCGTAGCCCGGGGATTTTTTGGGTCACTAAATTCAAATATGGCATCGACGAACACCCCCTGGACACCTGGTGTGCCGGAACTTAGACGAGAATTTTCTTGACAAGATCGCCAAAAACAACCCGAAATTCATTGTGAGGGCGTTTTTTTTGGGGCGCTGAATACAAATCACGTCGAAAACGACCCCTTGAACACCTGGTGCATCAAAACCTGGACGCGAATCTCATCACCGTGGGTTTTCCTCACACAATCGAAAAAGATGAACCGAAAATCGTTATGGGGGGTTTTTTAGGGCACGGAATACGAATTTTCCATCGAAAACGACTTCCAACACATCGTGCATCGGAACCTGGCCCTGAACGTCATTTCCGTGGAAGTCTCCCAAAATTCACGCGGGGAAGAAGAAAGACTCGGAGCCCGGGGGTTTTTTGGGTTGTACAAATGTGGCATCGTCAAACACCTTCCAGATACCTGGTGCGCTCGAACCTGGACGTTGGCGGGCGGGGCCTGGATAAAGTTTCTGTGTATACCTACACAAAAGCGTTTCAAGCGTTGGGAGAAAAGTGAAAGGCCGCTTGGGAAAGTTCGGAGATTATTCTTGTAATTCTCCTCGCTCTATTCAAACCCGGGATTTGGAATTGTACAGGACTGGATCAACTTTTTCAAAGATCCCAGGCGAAAGTTACACATCAATGATTGTATGAAACTATGAAGCGATATTCGGTTAGTCTTTTGCGATCGTGTCTGGAAAACCCTCGGAGACGACGTTCAGCCCGAGTTTCTGGTTCACCAGGTCGTTTTCGACGTGAAATTCGGATTCAGCGCCCCAAAAAAACCCCCATAACGATTTTGGGTTCACATTCTTTGATTGTGTGAGGAAAACCCTTGGAGACAACGTTCAGGGCCAGATTACGGTGCACTAGGTGTTCGGGATATCGTTTTCGACGTGAAATTTGGATTAAGCGCTCAAAAAAACGCCCCTACAATGATTTTCGGGTTGTTTTTGGCGATTTCGTCAGGAAAGTTATCGTCCAGGTTTGGGTGCACCAGCTGTCCACATTTGAATTCAGCGCCCCTATAAATCTTTCATAACGATTTTCGGTTCGTCTTTTTCGATTGTGTGAGGAAAACTCGCAGAGATGAGGTCCTCGTTTAGGTTCTGGTGCACCAGGTGTTCAGGGAGTCGTTTTCGACGTAACTTTTGGATTCAGCGCCCCAAAAAACGCCCCCACAATGATTTTCGGGTTGTTTTTGGCGATCTTGTTAGGAAAATTCTCGGGGATGACGTCCACGTCCAGATTCCGGCACGCCAGGTGTCCAGGGGGTCTAAAAAATTCCGAACTTTTTGCTTCAATGCTTCGACTATATATGATGTTATAATTTCTACATATTGCTCTAGACGCATTTTTTTTAGTTTGTGAACCAAACCTTCATGTCACACCTTGTCAAAAGCTTGTACAATTCTAAAAATATTTTTAAGCAGACTTGTTTTCCTTCAAGGGCATACTTTATGACATCTGTGACTCTATGCACTTGGTCAATAGTAGAATGTTTCTCTTGAAATCCAAATTATAAATCAGATATACATTTTGTATCTTCTATCAGAGGTCTTAATCTCTTTAGCAGTAATTGTTCAAATAATATTGACAGAATTGGTAAGAGAAATAGGCCTATAAGACCCAACGTCATTCGGCAGTTTTCCTGGCTTTGGCAACATTATTACCTCTGTAACTTTCCAGTATGCAGTAACATGTTTTAATCTATGAGCTGTATTAAACAAGATTTCACCAGTAATTATGTCAAAACCTTGAGGTCAGACGTTAATATATTAAATCGTACATGAATAATGATCAATTGTAGGCGCTTGACACTGTTTTTGTCTGTATCTTCCGTTCAACATATCCAAACAAAATAAACAAATCATATTTGACAGTGAAAATAATGGTGACTAGCGGTACGGTAAAAATCAACCTGTGTAAACCTCGTATTAATAGGACTCAAACTAATGCAACTGTTGCCACAAGTGACACATCAACAAAATGTTTAATTAATTTATTAATAATCCTATAATCCCTCTTTATAATTAAGTATTATAGGATTAAAGGTCCCTCCAGTTCATCATTTCCGTGTTGATCGGGGAAGGGGG